GTGCCTCTGTCACTGCCTTAGCAACCCTCTTATCTTGTCTGACCTCTAGGGTGTCTCTATTGGTAAAGACTTTCTGGGTGATCTCCAACAACTGAGTTAGATTCATTCCCTGGAACCCCTCTAATTTTTGCAATTTTCTTCTGATGTCTGGGACAGACTGGGAAATGAAAGCCAGACTGATGGCCCACTGATTTTCTGGGGCCTCAGGGTCAATAGGGCTGTAGGTGAGGTAGGCATCCTGTAGGCGCACAAGGAAAGTGGCTGGGGACTCCTGTGGACCCTGGGTCATGGTCCCTACCTTGGAGAGGTTGGTGGGTTTTCAGGCTGCCCCCCAACCCCCTCTAACAAGTACCGGTGAAAATTGTTCAAAGCCTGCATGCCCGCTGGGGTGTTTGGGTCCCATTTGGGTCTGGTGGAAGGGAAAATTTCATTAATTTGTTCCTGGCTGTCTTCTACTGATTCTCCCCCCATCCCAATTATTGCTTTATGGGCTTCTTGTCTAATTCTGCTTCTCTCCTCTGTGGTGAACAACACCAGGAGTAGCTGCTGGCAATCATCCCAGGTAGGACGGTGGGTTTGTAAAACTGACTCCAGGAGTCCTATGAGTGCCTGGGGCTTTTCAGAAAATGGGGGATGTTGAGCCTTCCAATTATACAAATCACTAGAGGAAAAAGTGATATAAAGAAAAGGGGACGAGCCCGGCTGCCACAGTCTGTGGGAGGTGCCTACCGGAGGGGCAGCAGCTCCGGCGGGTATGGGGCCCCACTTCGAGTGTGGAGGGGGGACAAGGGTTGATCATTTGTACTGTCCAGAGAAGGGTGTTGAGACCCCGTTCCCAAGGGCCGAGAATACAGTGGAGGCCACTCTTGGTCCTCGGCAGGGGCTGGAAGAACAGCTGGTGCCGAGGGGCTCTTCTTTGGGCCTGCCAGCATAACCTGATGTCCAGCCTGCTTTATGCACTTCTCAAGCCAAGGAGGAGGGTGCTGGATCAATTCCAGCCATTGATCAATGTATGGGAATTGATCAGGGTGGCCCGGGGACCCTGTCACGATGTCCCAGACAGCCTGAGTTATCTTGAGGTCGTATGTCCCCGTATCTTGCCAGCCCACTCCAAAGGCTGGCCACTCTAACTCACAGAGGGTCTGAAGCCTCCGTGGGGTTAGTTTAATACCATATTTGCCAGAGAACCCTGTTTTAAAATTTGTCATCATGCATCGGAGGGGGGTGCATGGTTGGGACTGTGACGAGCCCATTTGGTTTCTCCTTCAGTTTTTAATTTCCCCAAGAGATTTTACTAATTTAAGACTGTTTTAACAAGTAACTTGCATTACAAAGAGTTAGAAAGCTGTTCTTAAAGCCAGATTTTGGATGCAACACTGCACCCTGAGGCAGTGTGGCCTGCCTGAAAGCCGGGTGGGGCTGGCTGTTGGCAGAGAAAGGGAAAAAAAAAGCTTTTTGTGTCAGTTTAAAAACTGAGCTCTAAGCCCCTGGGCTGGCTACCAGTTCCCTGCCCCTGCAGCTTTTTGTCACCTCAACACAGGGACCCTGAAAAGCATTAAATTCCTGTCTCTCTCTCTCTCTCTCTCCTTGTTCCTCTTTTCTGTCTCCTCTCTTCTTCCCCTACTTTCTTTCTGTCTTCCCCTACTTTCTCTTTCTCTCTTCTTCCCCTACTTTCTGGTCCTCTCTCCTCTTTCCTTCCCCTGTTTCTGCTGTCTCCTTTTGGGCCCCTTGCTTGCTACTCGTGTCTTCCTCTTTCTGTGGTACAGCCAATTTTGGAAAGCCTCAAATTCAAATTTGGCCCTCTTTAAAGCAGGTTTTAGCAGGGTTTCTGCAGCCAGGTCCTGCAAGGACCAGACAATTGAATTGGTGGGTCTGTCTCTAGTCCTAGTCAAAGGAACAGGGGTTAAGGGCCAGGGTAAGGTGGTGGCCTCTTCCCTCGCACACCACAATTGGCAAGAATAAGCTCTATGGAGGTTTAATGCTGCTCAGGCATAATCCTCTCGGTTATAGGCTCTCCTATCCAAGGCCCGTGGGAAAGTGGGGATGTGGCAAAAGAGATGAACTAATAGATCAACTGGGTGTGTGTTTTGTACCCACCACAATTTGTAGAGTGATAAAAAGAGCTGCCAATCTGTCTTTAGTGGTTTATGGCACCCGAATTCCCAACAATTGGGATGGTGCCAATATGCCTCCCTGTGATGCACTGCTGGGCACTGCCCATAACAACATTGGACACTTCCCTGGCAGAATAGGCAGCTACCAATTTTCCATCCCAGCCTGAAAAAGAGCACTCATAGACTCTAATCTAGGACTCTGTTTCCTACGACCGCAAAGAAACTACTTCCGAGGTGTCAAGGGCACAGCTGCCTCCCCAACATGGAATCAGACCCAGCACGGGCAAAAGTACTCTTTTCCCAGTGGAGGTGGCTGGGAGAATTTACAGGCCACAATGATCATAACAAGGAAGAGAATAAAGACAACTAGAGTTAAGACTATCTGCCACATGGCAAAGGAAGAAAGAGTGAGGCCTCAGTGATAGAAGAAGAAGATCAGGAAGAAAGAGAAGAGGGTAATTTCTGCTGGGGTGTAATCAGTAAAAGTTCCCTGCATCCAGTGGTTCATCAACCACTATAGGATATCCCCTACCTCAAGGGAAGATGGCTTGAACCAGTGTATGTCTGCTAACAGGAGTCTAATAAAACTGACAAATTTACAGATGAGACAGGATCCCATACAAGAGTGACAAACAAAGGGTGGGTGTCCCCCAGATGGGAGACCAATCTGATGCCTGCCTGGCCACGCCCCTGGAGGGGTCTTTCAGGTGCATCTTGGCTAAGGTGTACCCGTATAACCCCTGGGCCTGGTCACCTCAGGATGGAAGTCCAAGTAGACCAGCTCTGAGGTGAATCACTGTTATGCCGTATGACGCTCCCGTGGAACCTCGGGTGAAGGCCCACTCAAGCCCCGTAGCCTTTCAGCCATGGGACTACATATATACACATTCACTCTCTCACTCACACTGAGGTTACAGAAAACAATTGAATGCTGACACCCACTATGCCAGCTATCAGAAGGCTGACACCCACTGTACCAGCCACCAGAGGCCTCAAGTGATGTCTCAGTGAGGCCTGTCTGGTCAGAGTTGCAATGACTCGTCAGTCCCCTGACTCAGGCCCTTCCTTTGAACTAGTTCCCAGATTCCAAACCAAACTTAACTCTGGAGGCTTTTTTAGGACCCTGAAGAATTTTGGGTGAACGTCGGCCGGGTGGTCACTTATCCTCCATGGTGGCGCTCTGGGGCCCTGGGACAGCTCAGGGGGCGCCTCTCCTAGAGGCTCCTGAGGTGGGAGTGGCCGCCCAGGCGAGACTCTGAGATGGCTTTTGTCTAGGTGATGGAGGAATACAAATAATAATCTTGCTGGGGCCTCCAAAATGAAGTATTAGATGCGAGATTGAAATAATCACTAAGACAAAAGTATGCCAAATTGTAGGGTCTTTATTGCCGGCGACCACGGAGGACTCATGTCTCTCTAACCCGTGGCCCCGAACTCAGGGGGAGCAGGGTATTTAAGCTGAAAAACCACATCCTTGGTATAGGATGAGGGGATGCAGGGCAAGCATCTTTTCAATACTTGCTGATAAGCAGAAGTAATTCTGGTAACTACTGATAAGCAAAGGCTGGTCATTTTAGAGCAAGCTAGCAGGTTTTATTTACAGAAGCCAAGAACAGCAGTTAGTGCGAGGAGAGGGGGTCAGCTGTTACAACTTATTTTTGGAAAACCGTTTTTGTCTTGTATAAAATGGCATTGCTCTGGTTCTAACTCTAGGCCGGCTATAGCACAAACTAAGAAAAAAAAAATGAAATCTAGTAAAGGGGTATCAGAGGTCATCCAACACAGGAGAAAGGCTAAGGAATCTTCCCTAGCTGATAGATAATGAAGCTGATAGATAATGAGTAAATTAATCTTAGGTTTGTCTTAAACACAGAAGGATTATATCTTACACAGAAAAGATTATATCTCCTATGAAAAAATCTTGTTGGAGGCAGCTTAAGTATCATGCCCTTACAGATTTATCATAGAATTTCTGTCTTTTTCATATATTAAGTGCATATTAATATAACAAACTATTCTCAAGTTTGCCTCATACTCTAAGATGTTTGTTGGAGATCTAGCTACTATGTTCACATTTCAACCAGGAAAGAAGATTAAGGAAAGAAAAAGGGCTCCCTTCTAACTGAATCTGTACCTTTAAGCAGCCTTCCTGGAAATTCCTTACAGCATTTCCATTTGTATGTCATTGGCCTGAGCTTTCCATATTGCGAATTTAATAGATAAAGCCTAAAACTAAAAATTCAAGGCATAGCAATTTAAGCATGTTATATACTGATAATTTAGCAGGTATTTACTTTCATATCAACATATAACATATACTGTACACAACACATAACATACTGTATATAACATATACTTTAACAAATATAACTTTCATATAATATATATTGATATGAAAGTAAACACCTGTGCCTTTTTGAAAGAGGAGTGGAAATGTGATAAGGGAGTGAAAGGAGGGAGCTCCTATTTGTTGAAATAAGATTTATAGAATTATTTAACTGCTAAAAATATATGGATGTGTAGCTTTGATCCAAATTTAAAAACTGAATTATAGAAAAAACTCTGTTTTTTCAAACTAATAGTTGCATACACATAAATGTTTTTCTATTGAAAGTTGACCAACGAAGGAAAGAAGTCGACCTTACATTACAATTTTTACTCAGTTTTAAGAATAATGAAAGCTCAGAATTCTCTCCCTTAGGTTCACATACTGTAGTACCAAATTATGTTGGGTTTCTAGTGTTTAAAAGCAGTCATTCTCATAAATTTTTATTTTACTGCACTAGAAAACCTTTGTGGCTGATGCATGAAGATCTGTTCCTTGAGGGAAGAGGGAAGAGACTGAAGCACTAACACTAAGGTTAAATATTATATCTGTTATTCAAGGCAAGGGCCAGCCAAGCCAGAAGTCCTGTCAATTCAATGGCCTGGAAAACGATCAAGCCGCCGAGTCCAGAGACACAACAGCTTCTCCCCAAACAGCCCTCAGTTTAATGTCAGTGGTCAAGGTAACTTACCCTTCATTGTTTTTCTTTGTCAAAGTCAATTTATCTTGCGTCTTCCAATTGATTACTTTAACAAACAACAGATAAGACAATAGTAATGGAACACTTTCCTTATACCAGGTAAGTTCGAGAAGAAGCAGTGAAGAGTGAAGGGTATGAAGAACTAGGGTGGTTAGCCTAACCATCAGCACTGTCAGAATCCTAACAGTTGTGCCTGGAAAGCACACAGAGAGATGGCAAATAGGGAAGGCAGTATCTCCATCCACTAATATCTAAAAGACGTGAGTTCTGTACCACTGACTCACCATCATCTTGAAATAAAGGGGCTCTACCCAAATATCCTCTAGACCTCCAAGCCTCCCTAAATATATCATAAGTTCATTTATGAAAAGGATCCTTGTTTTCATGATAGGATTAGTCATAGCTGGTGTTTTTGAAATTCGTAATGTGATGTTGGATTTATTGAGCTAAACCATACATATAACTGTTAGGTTATTAAATTCTAACCGTGTCACTTATAACCATTTTAAAATCAGTTTGAAATATGCAAATTCATGTTGCTAAATATTGGAGTAATTTTTATAAAGCATGCATATATACATGTCACTTGAAAATGTCATTTTAACACAAATGAGTTTTTAAATATCTACTGTTCAGAAAATCAAGGTATAAACTACATCCCATGTTTTACCAATTGTACTTGTAAGATTTCAGAGCATTTTCATGAACAAAGCCTTATTTTATCTTGACACCTTATAAGGTAGATGTTAATTTCCCTATTTCTCCATTTCACAGGTAAGGAAACAAGCCTGGGAACTTAAGTGATTTGTCCAAGGTCATATGAAGTATTAGCCCATTTTTATTGTGATGCGACTTTTAAAATCTTGATGGTTATACTTGCAGATACTTGTTTTTCTCTCTCATGAGTCTATGGTTGGTGATTTGGGCAATTTCAGCTGAATGTGGTTCCAGGCTGTATGTAGCTTTTCAGCTCCACTTCTCATGTAGCCTCCTGGAATAAGCAACAACTGGAACATTTTCTTCTCCTGGTGGATGTCAGAAACACATGCAGCCAGCCCAAAATTATACATGCTTATTAAAAGTACATTTTATGTACTGTGTGCATCTTATCTGCTACCTCTCCATTGGCCAAACGAGTCACAGGTCAAGCACAGAAACAATGGGGAGGGAAATGTGCTTCATCCATTATAATAGGAGATACTGCAAAATTGTGGTGCAAGGGTATATACAGATACTTCCATAGCATGAAGAAAGTGAAGAATTAGGAAAAATAATACAATCTACCACATGAAACTAGAAAATAATAACGCTAAGTTCCTAAAACAAAATATAAATTGTTCTTTCCATTTTAACCATTTAGAAAATAGAACAAAATATCTTTCCTTGGCTCTTTGATGTGACAGCAACCTTAAATTATTTTGGGAATAACCCAGATTAAAAATATTGTATTAAAAAACATAAAATTTATTAATATATGTATAATATTTTCTCTAATCAGCCCCTTTCTTTTCTTTCTTTCTTTCTTTTTTTTTTTGGAGCCACTTCTTTGCAGCAGTGCCAATGCTCATTTTTACATCATAATTTGGTGGGTTTTGAAAGGTGATTCCTCCAGGAAGGCAGGTGGAGAAGTAAATTCTGAAGACATCATTGTCCCATTATAATTTAGGTCTTGTCTTTATTGCATTCAAAGCTAATGCAAGGCTTTATAGTCTTGAATTCAATCACATCCTGATTTCAATAAATATTAAACAATACTATTTCAGCAGATGCCTATAAAAACATTTTTATTAACCTTCAATCGGTATACACAAATATGCCAGGATGTTTGTGCATGGGCTCAGACCATAACTCTTCCCTTTGCATAATAATGTTAATAAAAACAATAGTTGTAGCAGAACTTCTATAATGTTTAACATGGTACTAAATACACACACACACATACACACACACACACACACACATACACACTACATACCTATGTATACAGATATATGTATATATCATATATGTGACTATAAATCAACAGGCTCCAGCCTGTACTTGTACCCACTATGCCATGATTATAGAGCCATGTATGTATACTGAAGTTAGTTCCTGGGAAAGGAGCAACTATCTTGCCCTTATGCTTCTTTTTGATTGTAGCAGTTTACACCTTGCCATGGTCAGGGGTATGGTTTCACTGGCTCTTGCCACTCCCCTACAAGTAAGTTTAGAATTGTTGATTGATGCTTTCCTTTTTGCAAAAGAAAACCAACTACATTATGGGGTTCTATAAATGGCTCAGCAGGATCTTTTCTTTGACTATCAAAGGCCAGACAGGCAATTACATAAAAAACAGGCCTGTGGAAGTGAACTCCTGGGATGCATGGATCTATGGAAATCAATAACTTAGAAAGCACTCATGGATACATTTTAAAAAATGACCAGTCAGTGACACTGCAACCTTCCTTCAGGGTTGAAGAAAAGCTCCGAGATAACCAAGCATATCTCCTCTATCTAAAGTTTAACATATTGCCCTCATGATTCCCCCTGACCCCCAGGCTTATTAGAAGAAGACAGCCAGTGGATGACCCAGATAAACAGACTCCAGAAATTAATTGATAGACTGGAAAAGAAGGTAGGTGCTTTATTTTCATTATTCTTTCTTCCAGTTATCAAGATATTCTGACCCAATATTCCTCATTGCTTCTTATCCATGGCTGCCCATAGATAGAATAACAGCCAGGATTGCAATGATTCTATGAATGGCTGTTTGGTAATTAAGGTTTTGTTGTTGTTGTTGTTAAATAAAGAAGCTTACAGTAATTCTCCTCCAACCTCCCACCCCCATTATATTTAAAATAGGATGTGAAGTTGAGAGTTAAATAAATCTACTGCACTGCCTGGCTCTTAGGTTTTCAAATGAACTAGGTGACAGTGTGCTTGAATGATGCTAATGACAGTTCTTAGGAATAAGATGGTTGAAGTCTTGGGAATCTTTCAAATTAATTCAGGAAAATGGCAGTGCTATCTACCAAAAGATGAGATTCCACACTCCACTTCTGGAAATTAGCACATTAACTGATGGTTTTAGTATGAACACTATCTAAGCAAGTGAGCTAGAATGTGATTAAGAGTTCTTTAGAACTATATTTTATGTTCTTAGTCATTATATTTTTATTAATTTAGTTCGTACCAAATAGTCCTGATATTAAATGTCTTTGATTGGAGAGGCAAGCTTTGTCAATCAGTAAGAAAATGTGTTCTGCACATGTCAGGCACCAAGGAAGAAATATTTATGTTTGTGACAGCACTGACTTTGAAGAAAACCATTATCTACTTATATAACCAAGCTATACTCCTAAAAAGAGAGACAGTTAACAGATTTTTTTTTTAATACATGGTAGCACAGAATGAGATTCATAGTTGCTGGTCAGTAAATATTTGGTGACTAACCAAGACATGCAAATGGAGCAAATGTCAAAATCTCTTCGTGTTCACTTCATTGGTTGATCACTGTGACCTGGGGTGCTCAGGAAGGACTTTGTGTGACAGGAAGAGTTCAAATGGGGCTTTAAAAATGGTGACTTAATTAAAAATGTTACTGCAAACAACAGAAATCGTTTCTCTAATTAAAAAAAAAAAAGAAGAGTTTTCTGGAAGAATATGGAAGCACTCACAGAATCAACAGATAGTCCAAAGATCTGAATTAGGAAAAGTCAGGAGACAAGCTAACCCTAGAGAACTAGATAGCAAGAAATACTCAACAGTCTCTTAAGTTATTTCCACTGGAATAAATGAGTTTCTACCATTTCCAGTCTGCTGGCTTTCTGTTCAAAATTCTGTTTCCCAGAAGAAGAGTCTGGTTGGTCATGGCAGGGTTGCATTGCTGACCTCCTAGATATGGGAGGGGAGAAAGTCTTGATAACAATCCCAGAGCACAGTGTAGAAAGACGAAGAAATAATTCAATGAAAAGAAAATGTATTGTCATTAAAGTTGGAATAAACGCTGATCAGTTAACTAACAGGGAAACTAATATTTGCTATGGAGAAGTAAAATTTTAGTAAATAGAGGGCAGCTGGAAAGGGCATTCAGGTAAGGTGATGGCACGAACAAGGTTCAGTAGATCAGCCTGGTTAAGAGTCTTTCATGTAGGGAAATCATAACAAATAAGGTTTTTGGACAGAAGAGGGCCAGATTATGGACAGCCTCAAATAGTAGTCTAAAGAATTTGGACTTTGTCCAGGAAACAACAGAAGGCATTTATTATTTTTTAACAGGTAAGTGACAAACCAAAAAAATCCTTTAGATAGGAAATTGGGCACCAAGATGCAAAGTGAACAAAAACAAATGGAAAATGGATTAAAACAAGAAAAATGAGGCTCACAGACACTACAGCCAGCTCAAACAATGGCATTGAAGAGCAGGTTTCTGCAACTGAACCCAGTGAAGTCAGGTATGATAAGAGATGGGCCTGTATTAAGCTGATAAGTGAGAAGAAAATGGTAGATTTGAAACAACTGAGGTGAAATTAATAGCACTATTGAATGGGTTAAGGACAGGGGAAGCTCAAATAAGAATCTGAGGGTTGGAGCCTGTGTTTCCGAAACAATTATAGCATTAAGAGAAAAGGAAGAAACACGTGAGAGATAATTTGTGAGATAAGGTGAGAAGTTGAACTAGTTTTTTTGATGTGTGAATTTGAAGGTGCAGTGGAACACTAAGGCAGAAATACCTAGTTAGACATTAGTAGAGGGAAGTCAGGCCAACAGGTTAGGACTTCCACAAAGATGAACCCTTAAGTTATGTTTTCTTTCCTCAAGACCTGAGGATGGCTCTGAAAAGGAAGATTCTGTGCAAGAAGAGCCAAGTCAAGGGGAAACAACCCTGTAGAGTTCTTGTCCCTCTGCAGTGGTGTCTTTATTTGTTAAATTTATATTGACCACTTACTGAAGCAAGTACCTAAACTACTAGCTTCATGCAAATCAACTTTCCTCCTTTCTTATTTTATTGATATGTGTGCTGAAACTAAAAGATTTGTAGGAAAAATAGTGGCTGTGATAATTAGTTTTCCAATATTGGAAGGTCAAATCCAGGACCTCTATTTGAAAACTAAAGCTTATTAAAACATAAGGATTCAGTTGTTAAATAAGTTCAGATTCATTTAAAGAACACAAATACCTCTTTTTAAAGTGGTTTTGAAATTTTGGACAAAACTGTCTTTATTTGATATCTGAAATTTTTATAGTTATTTTTAAAGGAATGGCTCAAACTTAGTTCATATATTTTTCCTAACTTTAAATCAAAGTATTGTCACATTTCTTTTTTTCCTAGGCTTTTTCTGCCTCCCTTCCTATAAAAGGGTTTCATTTTGAGGACAGTATCTAAGAGGTTTGCTAAAAGTACAATGTGATAGTTTTCAGCATGGGGCTCCAGCTGTGTGGAGCTCAGTGTGAGCTGTCTTAATGAATGGAGAAGCAGTGCAAGTTCAGTTTTCTACAACTTATTCTGTACTGTGCTGATTAGGTTTTTAGAGGAAAAATTACCCAATTGCCAAACAGTGGCTGAGTGCATGTCATTTCACTGCTAAGTATCTTGTCTCCTGTAGGAGACAAACCTGTTAACACTAGGTTTGATCTTCCCATTAAAAGGAAGTGGACCTGCAGTGGAACATATGTTTTCTCTCTATTAAGTATTTATGATAAATTCTCCCTGCAATGAAACCAAGCCCTATTCCATGCATGCAGGGGAATATAACACAGCAATTTCAATAAGTTTCTTCAGGTATTCCTCGTATCCATTTCAGACTCCATAAGTGTTCACAGGGATATACTGAGTTATGTCTTGTGTTTTGCTTAATCCCTGTAGAAAACACTTTTAATGGCCAGGTGCAGTGACTCATGCCTGTAATACCAGCACTTTGGGAGGCTGAGGCAAGTAGATCACCTGAGGTCAGGAGTTCAAGACCAGCCTGGCCACCACGGTGAAACGGTCTCTTTACTAAAAATAAAAAAAATTAGCCGGGTGTGGTGGCGCATGCCTATAATCCCATCTACTAGGGAGGCTGAGACAGGAGAATCACTCTTACCCAGGTGGTAGAGGTTGCAGTGAGCCAAGATAGTGCCACTTCACTCCAGCCTGGGCAAAAGAGTGAAACTCAGTCTCAAAACAAAACAAAACACCTTTAACGTTTAACAAAATAACAAGGACAACAATGAAAGCTCTTCATTCTTCATTAAGTCCTCAGTGTATCATCAGATCACAGGACAGTATCACTTGAAAGGATATAATTCAGGATGTAATACTCCTATAACTTGTTTTAAGTCTTCCATACCTTAGGTCATGGAATGTAGAACTGCAAATTTTACCTTAGTTAGTGTCAGGGAAATAGTGGTCAAAGAGATTACTAGGTTACAGTTTCTACCTGTGGAGTACTTTTTAGTGTTCAATTCACATCTATATGCATTACATATAATTTTGCCTTCATGGAAAAACTATGATTTGGACAGGGCATTCATTCATTCATTCATTCATTTATTCAACATTTATTGAGTACTTACTGTGTGTCAGGTACTATTCCAGCAGTGGAAATATAGCAGTGATCAAAAGAATATCCTTGGTCTTTGAAGAGACAGACAAGAAAACAAATCTATGAAACAAGATAATTTCAGATAATGGAAAGTACTATAAAGAAAAAGTAGAGCAATATAATACAGATAGGTGGTTGAATACTCCAAATGAGTGGTCTGAGAAGGTCTCTCTAATAAGGTGATATTCTAATAAGGTGAGATGTGAAAAAGCAGCTATGTAAAGCCATAGAGATAGAGAATTTACAGCAAAGCAGGAAAAGTGAATTCCAAATACCTTGCCGAAAGTTCCACCACAAGAGAACAGCACAGCTAGAATGACATAGTCTATTATTAACAAGCATATGTTATTTCAGATAGTCTGGCTTTTTACTCTATTTGAATAATAATCCTCATTGGAAACAATGCTAGGATAGCCATTCACAGAATGAAGTTCTGAGAGATGAAGCACTTGGTTTCACTGGGGACATTAGCATTATTCATTTGTCATCACAGGAGAAATTAAGGTCTTACTTCTCAAAAGAAGATATATAAAGGGCTAACAAACTTATGAAAAAATGCTCAGCATCACCAATGATCAGGGAAATGTAAATCAAAACCATAATGTGATACTACCTAATTCCTGCAAGAATAGCCATAATCAAAAAATCAAAAAATAATAGACGTTGGTATAGAAGTGGTTAACACAGCACACTTCTACACTGCTGGTGGGAATGTAAACTAGTAAAACTACTATGGAAAACAATGTGGAAATTCCTTAAAAAACTAAAAGTAAAACCACCATTTGATCCAGCAATCCCACTACTGGGTATCTACCTACAGGAAAAGAAATAATTATACAAAAGATACTTTCACACACGTTTATAGCAGAACAATTTGCAATTGCAAAAATATGGAACCAATCCAAATGCCCATCAATCAATGAATAGATAAATTATGGTGTATATATATGTGATGGAATACTACTCAGTCATAAAAAGGAATGAATTAATGGCCTTTGCAGTAACCTGGATGGGACTGGAGATTATTATTCCAAGTGAAGTAACTCAGGAATGGAAAACCAAACACTGTTATGTTCTCACTCATAAGTGGGCACTAAGCTATGAGGATGGAAAGGCATAAGAATGACACAATAGACCTTAGGGACTCAGGAGAAAAGGTTGGGAGGAAGGGGAGGGATAAACAAATTGGGTTCAGTGTATAGTGCTTGGGTGATGGGTGCACCAAAATCTCACAAACCACCACTCAAGAACTTACTTGTGTAACCAAATACCTCCTCACCAAAAACTTATGGAAATCAAAAAAATTTTAAGACTTCAAGATTTTTGTAAGCGTTATTCACTTTTAGCAAATATTAGTTGTATTTTCATTTACTCTTTAATTTACTTTCTATTTAATAAAGAAAATTAGCACTAAGGTGTAAATGTATTGTAATAATAGACTAATGTTTATAATAATGTCCCAAGAAATGTAGAAATGTGGTAATACTCATAGTAAAATAAATCAGACAGTTAGCTTAGTCATTCTAACTTTTTCCTTTTCTTTGTTTGCCTTCCTATCCTTTTGTTCCCTGTTTTAATGTATCTCTTCCACTTTGCTCTCTAAGGGCATCCAGGAAGTAAATTTAAAGCAATACATTGAACATATCTAAAACAGCTTCTTAACAATTGATAAACGAGTACAGAGTCTTTATCAGAATAGCTTAGTTTTTAAAAATCAGAATTATTTAATCTTTCAAATAATGGGGTTCTTTTGGTTCAATATTAGCAATGAAAGAACTATGATTTGAATATATGGCACTTTTTTAAATGATGTAATTTTTGTTTTTTTCTGACATTTCTTTCTCTTATTGAAGGACCTCAAACTTGAACCACTGGAAGAAGAAATTATTGAAGGGAATACTAAATCTGTAAGTATTTTTATCAGGTAAAAATGTTAGAAATATATTCTTTAAAACCATAATTTCTTCAAAAATTAGTCATGATCTTAATGAAAAAATCAAAAAAACTAGTCATTTCATTTTATATGGTTAAGTAGCGTCTTCTTCATTGTGATTTGTGTAAACCTAATAACTACTTCACAGCTTTTATGACAGTACTTTGCATGTAATAAGTGCAAAATGAACATTGTATATATGTATAAATCAATGAATTATTGAATAATTGAAGGAATATGACTGGTAGAAAAGGGCAACATTTAAGTTGTATCATAAACACATTTTGTAAATACTGCTATTGTGAATACTGGATATACCTGAGTTGAAACCAGGTTCTGTTCATTATTATATTTCCAGCATTTAGCCTCGGGCCGGGTTTCTGAAAATACTCATAAATAATTTTTCAAAGAATAAATAGATTTTTGGAGAAAAGGGAACATTTGTATCCCTAGGTATAAGATGTCTATCCAGAGTGGCAGCACTTTTTGAAACAGAAGAAAAATGGACAAAGGGATACTAAAAGGTACATTAAAATGCAACAAAAAGAAGTTAGTAAATAATTAAAAGCATTGCATACCATGCTTTATTATTTACCCTTATGTTGAGGCAAACATATATAGCACATTCTGTTTCAGGAAATTGGATGTTTACATTTACATTTAGTGGAAATTTGGATTTTAAAATCTTGAGTAACTAGGAGAAAAAAAATCATTTTTAATACCTTAAATGTATTATATACTTTGTAGATGTTGAAGAATTGGTCACATTTATATGAAACAAAGATAGGAAATAACCTTTCATCTCTGAATGTCCACAAGCACTGACTACATGATAGAGGAAGGTGAGACCCACCTGTGTATAAGGTGCCTGCCTATCTGTCCAAATTCATAATCCAAAGGGATTCTTCAGAGGAAGGTCTGTGGGATTCTCAGAAAAGCTTAATCATGGCTGCTACTGTTAGAATCCTATAGTTATGAATACTTTCCTCCGATAAGGTGTATCTGTTACAGCATGTCTAGTGTTTTTATCCCTCCAGAGACAGGGCTGTAATCTATGTAATTCATCAAGAACCCAGCATTTTAAAATGGTAGGCTTTCATGGGAAAGTGAGAGGAGAGGGGTGTTGAGCATACATACTAAGAACAGTGGGTTTGCGCAGTCCCAGAGGCAACAGGAATTGTTAACCTTGTGATCATGCATCTGTTATCTTCTCATAAATTTGCATATAGGAAAAACTATACTCCAGTCAAAGGAAAAACAAATATAACTTTTCTAATGTTATGAGAGATAGTTGTCTATTCTTAAATAATTTTCTAATGTGAGATTATTTTTTTTCTCTGACTATGAGAAAGAAAAATTGTCTAGGATTGTTTGTGAAAGGAGGCAGCGATTCCATTTTCAGGTCCCTGAGCCACCAATGCCCATACCAATTTTAAAAGATCAACATACACAACATTACTGATTCAGTAGTGCATAGAAATACTTTAAACAAGTAAAACTGTACAAGGTCATTCAGCTCTCAATATTGTTTGAAAGCAGGAAAGGATATTCCCTATTTCTGGCCATATATAGAGGTATAACAATTATGCCCTTTGGGAATAGACATATAGTAAAGATTTGAACTGGTTTGTCTTTTCAGAAGTAACAATAAGATATTTGTCACTAAAAGTTGTATTTTGGGCCGGGCGTGGTGGCTCATGCCTATAATCCCAGCACTTTGGGAGGCCAAGGCGGGTGGATCACGAGGTCAAGAGATTGAGACCATCCTGGTCATCAAGATGAAACCCCGTCTCTACTAAAAATACAAAAATTAGCTGGGCGTCATGGTGCGCACCTGTAGTCCAAGCTACTTGGGAGGCTGAGGCAGGAGAATTGCTTGAACCCAGGAGGCAGAGGTTGCAGTGAGCCGAGATCGCACCATTGCACTCCAGCCTGGGTAACAAGAGCGAAACTCCGTCTCAAAAAAAAAAAAAAAAAAAGTTGCATTTTGTATTAATGGTAGTGAGTACATTACTATAAGTTCCTATAAAACCTCCTATATTCAGAATGACTAAAATTATTTTTCACTGTTATTTCACAGCTAGTGCTCATAACTCTATCCTACCATGTGTTAAATGATTTATCCTGATGTCCAAAACCAGTTTTATAATTCATTGAGAGGTATTTTTCCTTTTTCATTAGTGAATGCATGAAAACTTGGAAAAATAAATCCTATGACAGAAAGCAAAGAATACATTTATATTACACTTGGTTTTGGAAATGCTAATCTTTACTGATCCTTTGCTTTGTGCCAAGTGTTGTACTAAACACACACATAACTTACTTAATCCTCACAATAGCCAAATGAGATAGTGCTATCCTCAGACTCATTTTGTTGGTGAAGAAATCAAGGTTTAAAGGAGTTTACCTACCATAGCTGAACCCCTGCAGGTCAACCCCAGACCTATGCTCATCAGCATGCTCTGACATTTTCAGCCCTAGTGTTTACTGGATTTCTAGCCTGTAAAGTAGAACTGCTGTTTGCTAGCAGGGTTGTGGATGAATGGATGATTGTTTCATGAGATTCCCTATAAGAGCAGAGCAGATTGTCTGGCAGGCTTGTTTAAAAACACAGCAAAAGTCCTGAACCCTAGCAACTGCCATATCTAGTTTTCTGGGCAATGAGCCATTACATAATGATAAGTCTAGGATATAATTTCTTTTCTTAAGTCCATTTTTTTCCCCCTCAGCCCAGAGTAAGAGATATAAGACTTATTGAGTACCTATCATGGGAAGGATTCTTATATACACTATTCTATTTAATCCTCCCCAAAACTCTAATATAAGTACCACTATTCTAATTTTATGTATCAAAAGACAAACTGAGAAAGGATTAAGCAACTTGTTAAAGGCCATATAGGAAAAATGAAGCTAATTCTTTTTACTTTATATCCCTGCTCTTGAAGGAGAAGGAAGAAAGGAAAAAGAGGACAGGGTGAAGGAGACAGATGAAAGAGCAGCTAACAATTGTGCAGTGCTGTTGAGTTTCCAGGCCACCTCAAATCCTCTTCTGGAATAAATAAAGTTAATAAGGGGATTCTAAGATTAGTCAATGGCTAACAGCAAAAACATCTTTAATGTGTTTGTTCCACAAATAACTTGATCACCAACTATGTTCCAGGCCTGGAGAGAGGTGTCTGGAAATAAAGTGGTGAAAATTATAAGCTAGAAAACAAACTAGAGGAAATTATACAGAGTTTACAATAAAATGTGATAAGGATTATTATAGGAAAGTATAGATTTGCACAGTAAGGGGGCACAACTCAATTTAGGAGGCCAAGGATTGCTTCCAAAAGGACATAATATTTAAGATGAAGTCATAAAAAGTAAATAGAATTTTTTCTAAAAAAATACATATCTCTTACTACATAGAATGTTTCTAACACTGCACTAAAAGAACACTAAAGTGCTAGATAGAAATATTTAAATGTTCCAGATGATTTATAGCAAGCATATTATAAAGATGTATCTGTATGGCACTTCTTACCAAAAGAGTAGTGCAATAAGATGATCACTTTCCAGATATTTTCTTCATTCAAAGGTTTTTAAAAAGTCATAATTTTAAACAACATATGAGTATATTCTTATGCTTTTCAAAAACTCAGTCTTTTCTTCAGCACATTGTTATTATGATACACTAAAATAGCTTATCATACAATGAGTCTACAAACCTAGTATCTTTTTCTGCCTTTCTACACTCATATAAAACCTATGGATACTGTCTTGTGAAGTCAATCCATTCTGCCAAACATTCCTAAGGGCTTGGGGCTATTGTCAAGTAATATAACAGGGACTATCAAAAGATAAGTCTTGTTCTACCATGACTGTTAAGGGAGTCAATGAGAGCATACAAGAAAGGCTGTGGTATCTCTGAAGACATATTTGAAACATAACTGTAAATGTAGTAAATAGAACCAAGTAACATGAAAAAATAAGTTGTATTTAAAACGTGTCTCAGTCCTAAGACTAAAAAAGATGACATTTCTTGAAATGTTCCAAGAACTCAAAGGCTGATGGAACATAATCTAATGTCACTGGCAAATACTATCTTGTGAACTGAGATTGGCTTTTCATATTTACACAGCACTATTTAGTCCAAGACTTTCCAAATATCTAGCCATATCTTGTTACAATGAAAATTGTAACAAAATTCCTATAAGATAAATGATAAATAATCTACTACTTCTTCTATAATAGAGAAACAAAATGTAGCATCATGAAAGAATATTCAACCATGGAAGAATGATCTGAGCTAACTGTATCTTGGGATCCCACATTTTAGTAAGCTTTCAGGCTGTGTATTTGACACAAGAGACACATAGAAATATTAATAAGATAGTAGGACTCCTGTTCCACCTCTCCCAAACCCCATATCCTACAACTTGTCTTGACCTGGCCAGCACAGAAAATTTAAGTGTTTTCTTCGGATTTCAGAAAATCTACTTTAAACTAACCATTATTTAAAAAGCTCCACTTGTCAGAATCGTCATCAAACTTAGGCATATTATCTGGGCCTTTTTAAATGAATTTCTCTGTGCAAATATCTTAGGAAAGGAGGGGGAAAATATATGTCTGGTTTGGGTTGCAAAGTTGGACATTGCAACCCAATCTAGGAAGCCAAGAACTCAATTTTTCCAATTTATACATCAATGTACATAAGTGAATGAATCAGTTAGCTATTACTACATAGTAAACCACCCCCAAATTCTATGGCTTAACACAATAACCACAATTTTGCAGGCAGGCAATTTAGGCTGGGATCAACTGGCTGGTTCTTACGGTCTCAAATGGGCTTCTTGTGTCTGCAGCAAGCTGCATGTCAGCTTTGCTGATCTTGGCTGAGCTTTCTCATAGTCGAGAAGCTCAGCTGTGCTCTATGTGGTTTTATTTTAACACAGCCACACTCATTTGTTTACGTGTGGGCTGTGGCTGCTTTCACACAACAATAGCCGAGTTGACCAGCTGCAACAAGAGCCATGTGGCACACAAAGCCTAAAATACTTACTATTTGTCCATTTACAGAAAATGTTTGCTGGCCGCTGATGTAGCAGGTGTTGTTCACGTGGTAATCTCAGGGATCTAAGAGAAAGAGTGGAAAGCCACAGGCCTCTTGGCCCTAAATTTGAAGCTGGTACACTGTCAGTTCTGCCATGTTCATTGGCCAGAGCAAATTAGAAAGCCAACCCAGATCCAAGGTGAGGGGCGGGAATAGAATCCATGTCTTGATGAGAGGAGCTAAAAAGTCACATTTCAAAGGGCATGGTTTCAGGGGCATAGTGAAGGGTTCTTTTTATTTTTGTAATCCATTCCACTTGATCATGTAAGAATTGCCTTTAGACAAAAAGAATTACAATGGAATAGGTAGATATATTTATATATCTCATATGAACTTTTCAAATTATCTGAGTCGGTAATTACAAATGTCCAAGAAGTCCCTGCAGATTTTTGTGAAAAGGGCATATCCATTGTTATTTTGGTAAAAATTAATTTTACTTAGTTCTTAATATTAACACCATGTGCTTTGGTTAGTCCAACAAAAGTAGGAATATTTGTTGAATATACTGAATACCTAACAGTCTCTACAATATAATTGGTGTTCAACAAATAATAGCTATTAACATGAAATAGAAACTAATTGGATTAGAAAACAGAAAACAGTAGAGCAGAGGTTTAATTCTAGCTCTCATGCTGCATAGCTGGTATTACTGTGGAAGTTATTTTTCTCATATTCTAGATCATCCTTACATCGTTGTGTTTTGTTTCTGTTTTTGCACTTTTATGATGCCTGCCAATCCTTACTCTCATCTGTACTTTTATACTTTCACTACCAATTCTTGAAAAGACATAATGTTGAGATCTAAAATTCCATGAGAAGCCCACAGACAGATCTTGAGGGAATTCTTAAAACTACAATTGCTATAATGCTAATAGGATTTGTTACAGGGAACAGTTGGCATCCGATCCAGTGTGATCCATTAAAAACAAGCACCATCTGATGCTATTATCTTTTGAACAGGGCCTGTTGTAAGTAGTTAATGTGTGTGACAACACTGCAATATTTGAAGTACCTTTGGAAATGCATGAGTTACTAATTTTTTTTTGAAATCTGGTTGTTTGTAATGATTGTCACTTATGTCTAATATCACAAAATACCTAAGAAGTTGGAGCTGTATAATCTACAATAGGACTTTTCTTCAAAAAGTGGTAAGTGGCTATAGGGAAGTGATCCTAGCTCTGGCTGCACATTAGAGACACTTAGGGAGGTTTTAAAAATACCAATGCCTGGGCCCCACTCCCAGAAATTTTTATATAAAGATAATTTTAAAACTCCTCAAGTTATTCTCATTGAGAATCACTGCTTTTAAAGGGGAAACATGTCATTGTAAAGAACACTTTGTTTAGCTTCTGTGACTAGAGGCAAGGAAAATATCTTGTCTAGATTACAGCCTTTATACAATTTTATACTTGGAATTGTCTGAACCTTCCTTGGTCATATTTTTAGATGACAATCATTTGTTTTTGTGAGGAGGTATGATGGGCAGTAGGAATCAGCTTAAACCAGGCTCTGTGACAGCCAATGCAGTGACCCTCACCCCTTCCTCGGCAGCACATCATGCTTGTGCAGCGGCAGATGTCTGTGATAGAAGAGGACCTGGAAGAATTCCAACTTGCTCTGAAACACTACGTGGAGAGTGCTTCCTCCCAAAGTGGATGCTTGCGGTAAGTGCTCCTACTCCTCACCTGAAACCTTTGACAGCCCGGGAATACAGTGAAGGCATTTCCCACTTTAGACAAGGCTGGGGGTTGAGAAGACAGATATTTGTGAATTCATATATTAAGTTATACAGAGCATTCTATCTGGTGATGTTGCTTGCTGCCTTTAACTGGATGTTTTCTCTAATATTTGGGCCCTGTGTCATTTGGTCATTAGGGGCACCAAGCAAAACAAAATGGAGAGAACAACTTAAATGAGGAGACTGAATTTCAAATAAGTTGAAATTCCCTTTGCATCCAGGCAGCCCACACTCTGATTTAAAATCATCTCTGGTAGATCAGGCGCCAACTCTAGGACATCTAGCTGTGATTGCTCCCTTGGCAGCATGCCCTGTGGCCTAATGACCATTTCAGCCATTATGAAATTGCAGGCATCCCTGAAGTCATGATTTCAGGCCTTAGTTATTCAAAGAAAATGAAGCAGCAGCAAATCTTTTCTTTCCTCTTTCCATGGGTACCACCCAGCTCAGGCTTCAAGTACCTCAAGCTATTAAAATACAGTGTTCCTCATCTTTAGTTTTTCTACTCCAACCGGTCCAATAAACAGCTACTATAATAATTTTCCAGAGACAGTTATCACAGAGTTCTTTTGAGAACCTACAGTAACTCTCTAGTGAGTATCTTATCAAATGCTAGATGTTTTTCCTGACTCTATATTTGATCCTACTGACAGACCCAGGAATCCATATTATTATTATGATGTGTTCTCCCTTATCTAAACACTTTGCCTTGATGATGATGAACAGCTAGAATTTCCAGTATAATCTGTTCGTTCCTACCACTGTGCCTTAGACTTGGCTACTCTTCCTCTAAGAAATGTGCACCCAGCTGCAAGTCTCTGCCAGCCCATGCACTGCCTCAAGTTCAGAGCCTAGGTAGAAAACTTCCACAACCAAGGCAAACTCTGTCTTATGAGCTTGTTTAAACTGTATTTCATAATGCTCTTCAAATATTGCTTTGGGAAGGTTTTTAGAAGAGAGAGAGTGTGTGTGTGTGTGCACGCGCACACGCAAACAGGTACTTCACATCTCTGGGTGTTTTGCTTTTCCTCTCAGTGATTAATTAATTATATTTTATTCATATCCCAGTAGAATATTTCTCTAGCTAAAAAGTCTGGTTCTGGAAATAAACATGGGACTTTACTAGCTTTGTGGTTTTGAGAAAGACCCTCACTGGCTCTAAGCCTGAGCCTCCTCACCAAGAGCCTCCTGAGATGTTTGGGAGGATTGAGACAGTTTATATGCAGTGCTCAGCACAATGCCTCCCATCTACTGAAGATGTGAGCTGGTGTCACTATTGTGTTTACTATTGTTTCCTAGTTGTCTGGGTGGCTCACCTCTTCTCTAGAGTATGAGTACAGTACTTCCTCAGTGCCATTAACAGCTCATCATCTTACAGTAGTACCTTTATAACAAGAACACAGGAAATGTTGTTTCCATTACAATTTTTATTATTCTACTTCACTCCAGACTCAGAAGATCACAAATCAAAACTTCATTTTAGTCCTTTTTACTTCAGTGACTCAAGACAGATTTGCAAATGTGGGAATATGTGTAGTTTTTAAGAGCCCACTCATTTGAAAATAAAATTGAATATTTAAAAATGCAAAGAGGGCCAGGTGCAGTGGCTCACACCTGTAATCCCAGCATTTTGGGAGGCCGAGGCAGGTGGATCATGAGGTCAGGAGTTCGGGACCAGTCTGCCCAACATGGTGAAACCCTATCTCTACTAAAAATAGAAAAATTAGCCAAGCATGGTGGCATGTGCCTGTAATCCCAGCTACTCAGGAGGCTGAGGCAGGAGAATCTCTTGAACCCAGGAGGGGGAGGTTGCAGTGAATCGAGATCGTGCCACTGCACTCCAGCCTAGGCAACAGAGCAAGACTCTGTCTCAAAACAAAACAAAACAACAACAAAAAAAGCAAGCAAAGAGAACCTATAAATACACCTTCCTCAGTATAAAGTTCCCAAAGTAGAGCTCAGTAAACTCTTTTTAGTGAGGATATAGAGAAGATAAGGTCCATTTCAGTGTATTACAATCTCCAGGGATTAGAAATTTCATATTTATAAAAAGGACACACAAGTTTATTTTTTAGGTTCTGAAACACTGCTTTAATGGGTATTGGGAAAATAACCTCAAGCTATTAAAACAGCCCCAGAGAAACAGGCTGTGGGAGAGTAAGAGAGTGTATAGATTTGTGCTGCCTGTTGCACTCTGTTCTCTCAATAACCACAATAAATTGCTCCAACAGCTCCTGCTGTGAAGTAGAGGGAAGGAGAGTATCCTTTTCCTGTAAGATGTATTCTCAGCCTCTCCTATTCCTTTGCAAGTCTGGTTTGTTTTGTATAGTTCTTTGTTCATTTCCTATTGCTAATTTTTCAGCTAATTTCTTTCTTTTACTGGAATTATCAAAATGTAGACTATAACAGTTGGAATGAGCATCAGAGAATCACTACACCCATATAGAATATATATATGGCATAGATGTTATGCCATGTGCCTATCTACATTCAATTTTCAGTTTTACCAGTTAATCAAATTCCATTTTCTACCTGTATCAATTGATAATCAAATGCCACTAATGCTATCAGTCATGCTCCAATGTGTCCAGCACAATTGCCTAGTGCTTGGCTGAGAAAATAAAGCTCTGTGAATGTCAGAGGTTCTGTAGCTTCTTGTCCCACGATGTTTAGCTCAGTATCACCATGGTTAGGCACAAAACACTGCCATAAAATAAAATAGATATGAGTAAGAGCTAACAACATTAGGCATTTTGCACCTATTTTCTTATTTTTTTTTTATACAGGATCTTGTGCTGTTGCTCACACTGGAGTGCAGTGGCACAATCATGGCTCACTGTAGCCTCAACTTCTTGGGCTCATGCGACCCTCCACCTCAGCCATCAGAATAGCTGGGGTCACAGGCATGTGCCACCATGTCTGCATAATTTTTTAAAATTTTGTACAGACAGGGTTTCACCATGTTGTCCAGCATACTTCCCTTGCATCTCATTGACCAGAATTCAAGTCACATGGTCATTCTTGGCCACCAGGAAGGCTAGGAAACAAATATCCAGCAGAGAGGAGTCAAGATTATCAGGATATTCTCAGTCCAACACTGATTGGTACATTAGGTGTGTTGCAAATATTGAACAGTGGCAGAGTCATGTTAGTAAGAGGAGAGTCATATTTGGGGAGGCAATGGTCAGTGTTAGCTGCATGACCCCCAAAGTAACTGTGAAGGTAAAATGGCTTATCTATGGAAAATGCTTAAATCACTATTAGTACTTATATTATTAGCTTGCTGCTTCTCATTGTTTTAATAGATATGTACATTTCCGCTCCATTTCTTTTCTGGTATTCCTCTCACACCATTCCTTTTATTTCTGTCATGCTTCTTAGCTTTGACACTATTACAGCTTAGCTTTCATAGCTAATCACCCAATGAAAGTGATATTTTCCTTTTAGCTATTGGGCTAACAACTAATTAAACACACACACACACACTAAGCCAAGTACTGAGTTAAGAATTCTACATGTAACTTTTTTTTTGAAACAGAGTCTTGCTTTGTCACCCAGGTTGGAGTGCAGTGGCACTTTAATCCTCAGCATTGTTATCACCATTTCACAGATAAGAAACCAAGGTTGAGTATTGGGATCAAGGTGGCACTGCTAATAAATGGTAAATGGTGGAAGTACTGTTGGGCTATACTTTAAATTACTACCATTTCATGCTATGAGATCCTTTTTACTCCTTTAAAAGCTTGAGCATTATGCTAAAATTTTATTAATTTATTATCTTAAGGACTTATGGCTAGTCTGGAAAATGAAAGGTTCAAATAGCAGGATAAGTGGGCTTTTAATGTAATAAGTATAAAAATGAATTACTTTTCTTTCAGGAAGCAGTTGATGAAGAGCCTGAAACACAAGGCTGCGTATTTTAAACTTTAGCCTAAAGAAAATAGATATGAACTGTAATTTGTCCAGTATACTGTTCAAGGTTTTGTTTGAGGATTACATATCCCTTTGAGACTATGATGAAAGCTACAGATTCTCTACCTAGGAAAACATATATATGCAATTAATTTGCAGATCATTTCTGGGATTTTAGTGAACTACCAAAGAGTACAGTCATGAACTGGGATTAGAAAATCACAAATTCCACATTCTATTCAATTCTTATGATTCTATAGTAAACCTTTCTCTAGAAAATCTGAAGTTAGCTAAAAACAATATTTGCTGCATCATACCTTAATGAACCAAACTAGATAAACAACTCTGAAAAAACACTGTTTACAAGCAGAACGAAAGAAAAAAACACTAAAATGTCTGTGTGTAGTTACTGCCACCTGCTGGTCACACTTAGGTAAATCCTAAATCTACATTAATCAACTATTTTACTGGTAAATTCTTTGTTCTCTATTAACCCAAAAGCCCTGTTGTTTTTCTAACCCCTTGTTTTGCTTTATAATGTATTATGAACCATTAGGCTGAACAATCTGTATTTTTATTATTAAGTTTTTAAAGACACAGATTCTTAAGTTTATGAATCTGTCTGTATTCCTTTGTTTCAACATTAATATGGGTCTTCATCATTTCTCACCTATGCTATTTCACTACCTTTCTAGCTGTTCTTTATGCTTTGTAATACTACCCTCCTTACAGTACTCACTCTGTCATCGGAAGAATCTTTTAAAATACAGCTCTAGCCACATCACTCTCCCTGCTTTAAGTCCTTCAGTGGCTCTTCATTTGCAGTTACCTCAACCTATGTTTTCAGTCAGCCTGCTTTCTTCACTCCTTCAAAACATATTATATAGGCTTTTTCCTCCTTCAGGCTATTTGAAGGACTGGAAGGAACAAATTTATCTCCTGCAAATTATAAAAGAAATTTAAAAAAAGAAAACAAAAAAACCCTTGCAATTATGGCCAGCATGTGGACTTTCAAACTTAATCCAGAGACAATGTTGAGTGGTTAGAGAAAGAGGGATTCAGAGCGAGAGAAAGAGAGAGAGAGAGTTTGAGAGAGAGAGAAAGGAGAAAAAGGGAGAGAACCATTAGGTATTGGCAAACTAGGAGTCAGTTGTATAGTAGTGTGGTCTACGTGACTCAAATGGCCTAGAGCAGGACCCCACACAAAAACTGTCAATTCAAGAACGTTATAAGGCTGAGAATTTGGCAGAGCTATGGTGGTTGACAGGGGCAATCCTAAGAGCACATTTGAGGGCAAAGGCAGCTAGCATGCCCTCATATTTTTCTGGGCCTAGAACAACAGATGCTCAATAAACCTTTTTGAACAAATGAATAAAATTTTACAAGTTACATTTGTGATGTCTGCCATATACTGAGACTATTTTCATGATGCAAACCTAGAAAACTAAAAAAAAAAAAAAACACTTATGCCTAACAGACATATTGAACAAATAAATTTTTGACAAACCTGTTTGATTTTCATGCAGGCACCTTAGATTGTTTCCTATATTAATGGATAAGATTGTTTCATACTACATATAAAGATTAGAAAAATTAGCTTGCATGTTTAATTTCCAGTAGCTAATTATGCCTTTTATTTCCCATTTCAGTATTTCTACACAAAAGCTTTCAAATGAATCTCGCTACATGATCTATGAGTTCTGGGAGAATAGTAGTGTGTGGAATAGGTAAGTTGTGAGCAAGCCTGATTTTATGTGATGTCAGGAAGGTGGTAATATGCATGATATAATTTTAGGATTTGTAGGAAAGCTCTGTTCTTTTTTACCTTACCTTAAAACCTGTCCCATTTGGCCATTACCCTGATTTCTACACACTTTTAAAAATGTATTTCATGGCTTAGAAACCACTTCTCTCTTGAAGCACAAATACTTTTGGTAATGATCCAACTTTGAGTCTTACCATTTTACTGATGTTTTCAGATAAGAAGATATAGATGGGGGTATGGGTTTCTAAAGCTGGTGACGGTAGTGGTGGGGGTGGAGACAAAGGATGCACAAAAGGGAGATGAAAAAACAAAGCTTTACCTCCTAATTTTTCATAAGACTGTCTGTGCAGTTATTTTATTTTACAATAAAACTACATCTAATTTTTAGAATCATCACAGCCTAGCACCTTTTAAATATCTTTTAACACTGAAAATAAAGTGGAAATTCAGGACATTGTCAAAAATTCAAAAGAAATCAGTGTCTTTGAAATTAATTACTAACATAAAACAAACATATAATTTTAAAATGGAATGAAGGAAATGTTTGCTCATCTGAGAGAATATAAACTTCATGACAGTTTAAAATGGTACAGAGAATATAGCTCTCTAATTAAGTCCATGTTTAGGGTGTTAAATATGGTTATGGAAGTAATAGAATACCTGGAAATTCAGTTGATTCATATTTCACCTAAACGTTTTATTTTTACGGCAATTTTGAAGCCACTTTGTGCTATAATGAAGGCAAAATGACACCAACAGTATTTAAGCCATAGAAAGGAATAAAGTTCAACTCTGTGCTTCCAGGCCTACACTTTCAGTTTTTTAGATTTCTTTTTATCCTCTAGAAATGTAGAATATACAGTCTGCCTTCTTATCTATCCTAGTTTTTAAACACCCCGACAGCCAAAATATTATCCCAGACCTTGCCATCTTGATTGAATTTGATCTCTGCTATACTCAGGAAGATTGTAAATTAAAATGCACAGCCTTAACCTGTAATTATTTATACAGCCACCTTCAGACAAATTATAGCAAGACATTTCAAAGAAGTAATGTGGATTTCTTGGAAACTCCAGAACTCACATCTACAATGCTAGTTCCTGGTAATTATCTTGGGTTTACAATGCTTCTATGTCCTTTAATGTTGTTTTTTGTTTCTTAAAAGACAACATGTTCTTTCCTTCTGTATTTTACCATTGGTGCTCTCTTATTTATTTCTTTATATATCTTATGATTTGGGAGTTGGGGGGAAGAAATAAAATATCTATATATTTGTTCTATTTTGTCCTTAGTTGACCCTATTTTGTATTCCCAGCTATATTAAACCTACAAATTAGTCATCTGCTAATTATATTAACAAACTTGAAGTACCACCAAAACATATTTCAAAAAATTATTCAAATATTTTGCCATATTGTAATTTAGTGTATTGGATACAATTTGTTCATCTACCCATTCAATTACTGATTAAACATATATTTACTAAGTAGTAACATATGCTAGGCACCAGGGTGTTTAGCCTATTTACTTGTACTGATTTGAGCTCTATATTTGAATAAGCATTGTGTTGGGAGCTACAGAGGGTACAAATTGAAAGCAAAACCTTTACCCATAAAGTGCTTTCTGTTCAGCTTGACAGAAAGAAATGTTTGCAAAGACAAATTTTAGCAGGAAAAAAACCCAGCTCAGGGCATAAAAATAGCTGTCACCATTAGAGATATGTGTTTTGTAGACTTGGAGAAGTGATTACTTCCTTACTAGTTTTTAAGAAAATGACTCTTGAGCTAGAACTTAAAAGATGAGATGTGGGCAGGTAAAGATGGAGAGGAAGGGTACTTTGGTAAATTCTGGACATGAACAAATGCAAGAAGTGTGAATGTGCTTTATTGGTGCAATGGTGTCACTAAGGCATAAAACATAGTACAAATGGAGATAGACGAGAGAGTAAAAAGTGAGATTAAAAATGGCAAAATGAGGAGTTTGAATAGTAACCTGGAGTAATTTAAGGTTTTTGAGAGGGATGATGCCACTCTAAACAGTAATAACCGAGAGGAGGGAGAAATGGATGTCATGGAGAGGCGAGAGATTAACCAACCAGGGCAATAATCTAGGCCAGGGAAGGAAAAAAAAAACTGAACCAGGAACTAGCCAGAGAGTTTGGGACTCCAATTACAGATATAATTTTCAGGAGTTAACCACAGCAAGATGATGGTTGAAACCTGGGATTGCTGAGAAAGTATGTAGACAAGAAAAAAATATCTAAGAGAAGCTTGGGGTGATGGCTTTTTTAAAAATTGCATTTAGGTTTTGGGGTACATGTGAAGAACATTTAAGAGGGTTGCATAGGTACACACATAGCAGTGTGGTTTGCTGCCTTCATCCCCATCACCTATATCTAGCATTTCTCCCCTTGTTATCCCTCCCCAACTCCCCACCCCCCACTGTCCCTCTCCTATATCCCCCCAACAGACCCCAGTGTGTGATGCTCCCCTCCCTGTGTCCATGTGTTCTCATTGTTCATATAAGTGAGAACATGTGGTGTTTGATTCTCTGTTCTTGTGTCAGTTTGCTGAAAATTATGGTTTCCAGGTTCATCCATGTCCCTACAAATTGTTTTTTTATGGCTGCATAGTATTCCATGGTGTACATGTGCCACATTTTCCCTATCCAGTGTATCATCGATGAGCATTTGGGTTGGTTCCAAGTCTTTGCTTATTGTAAACAGTGCCGCAGTGAACATTCGTGTGCATGTGTCCTTATAATAGAACGATTTATAATCCTTTGGATATATACCCAGTAATGGGATTGCTGGGTCTTTCTTTAAAAGTTTGGTAGAGGGAGAAAACCCTCCTTTATTAAGAAGTCAAAGGGAAACCAATCAGAGGTAGGAGAATCATAGCAGTGGAGTATCAACCAAAAGAGTGAAATGCCAAGATACAATGTGGGAATGTATAGTAGGGAGTGACTAAAGAGAATGGGAATGGAAGTTGGATTTGACAAGGTCACTGTTCAAGAAAACAGTTTTTTGTTTTTTGTTTTTTTTCTGAGACGGAGTTTCACTCTTGTTACCCAGGCTGGAGTGCAATGGCACGATCTCGGCTCACCGCAGCCTCTGCCTCCTGGGTTCAGGCAATTCTCCTGCCTCAGCCTCCTGAGTAGCTGGGATTACAGGCACGCACCACCATGCCCAGCTAATTTTTTGTATTTTTAGTAGAGACCGGGTGTCACCATGTTGACCAGGATGGTCTCGATCTCTTGACCTCGTGATCCACCCGCCTCGGCCTTTTAATAGAGTAATAGGAGTTTAAAATTAAAGTAGATTTTGATGGATTGGGGAACATAGAAGTTGAAAAAGTTCACTCTGAAATTAAAGCTAAGTGAGGAGATGAAGGAGGTCAGGTGTAAATGCTTTTGAGTTGGCTCACTCACAGCCTCAGGTGGAGCTCTAGTTATGTATTTTCTAAATCTTAAGGACAAGATTTAGAAAAACCATAATAGAAAAACCATAAATGGTTGAAATTTCTCAAGATTCACAATTTGACTCATGCAGTTTATAAATGGGAGGAAGGCTGGGTGCGGTGACTCATGCCTGTAATCCCAGCACTTTGGGAGGCTGAGGTGGGCAGATCATGAGGTCAGCAGTTCGAGACTAGCCTGACCAACACGGTGAAACCCGGTCTCTCCTAAAAAATACAAAAATTAGCCAGCAGTGGTGGTGTATACCTGTAGTCCTATCTATCACAGAGGCTGAGGCAGGAGAAATGTTTGAACCTGGGAGCCAGAGGTTGGAGTTAGCAGAGATCGTGCCACTGCATTCCAGCCTGGGCAACAGAGAGAGACTCCATCTTTAAATAAATAAATAAATAAAATGGGGTGGGGGAGGAATCCTAGAGTACTACTTCTGTAAATATGACTGCTGCAGACTTTGTTTATAGAATGCAGGAAAGTGAGATCCACATTTTATTTCTCTTCACATTCCCTACCCTAATACAGTATTATTATAGTATAGTGTATTGCAAAAAGAAACAATTATTTCCTAAATGAAGGAATGAATAGGACTTTGGCATCATCATTATTGGTCATCAGTCAAAATTTCCATGAAGTCCTGACACTTGTAATTATTATATCTGCCATCACACCCATTTCCATCTCTCCTAAACCAATGTGGAAAGAAAGGAACAAAGCTTGTTCTTATTGGTGTCTTGAGTCTTTCCAGGACAGAAAACACCTGAACAAAAATAGAGTAGGAAAAGAGGGTAGAACAGGAGGATAATGAGTTATCAGTGGGGGGGGAAATGCTATAGCAAGAATTGAAAATGTGGAATTATCTCTGATAGAGTTTTCTGACCCAACTTCATCATTATGTTGAATTAACTTTCTATGCACTACTAGTATCATTGGCACATGTATTATATTATTGTTTCTCTCTCAGAGCATTTCCTAATTTAGAAAGAAAAATTGACTACAGTTAAAACTGGATCAATTCTTGTTCTGTGAATTCAGATTCAATACAATTTAATGCCTTTTCATTGCTGCCCTGTTTTGCATTAATCTTCATATTACATTTAATTTCAACAATGATTACACACACACACACACACACACACACACACACACACACAAAAAAAAAAAAACGATTGCCAGTATTGAGTAGATTCTAGTAAGAACAACATTTATAATCTTGTTGCCAAAACAAGTTCTACTCACATAGAGCAAAAAATCTTAGACTGCAACAAAGTGCCAAAAGATATGGTACAAATAACAAGTGCATAGGAAGAGTTCAGTCTTGCCTCATATAGTCAAGAAATGGTGACTAGAAAGATAAGTTATTATGCAGGCAAAAGGTAAGGGAAATGGTCTCTTTAGAAATAATTTGCACCTTGAAGTTTCTTTGCCCTATAAGATATTTTCATCATTTAAAAAAAATGTTTTTCTCTTCTCAGCTTCATGGTGGATCCTGAACAAGAACTAGATGTTCCTAGACATTTTCTTTATGGTTCCAAGTGCAAAACAGGTGTTCTTATCTAAAATGTCAATTAGAAAATTATCTGTGGTTGTTAATCTGTATACTTTTGTTTAGTATATTTACTAAGTGCACTCTTTTAAAACGTATTCTGTAACTTTATCATTCATGTGAATTTTAGCTCAATTTTCAAAGTTCACTATTCTCAATATTTAATGCTAAATGCTTTGCTACATTGTAACCAACCTAAAACCTTTTAGTGACAAAATCCTAATATGTGGAAAAAAGCATATGCATAAAGGAATAACATTGTGAAAAATAATTTGTTATGATAAAGAAAAAATAAAGTGGAAACTTTTAGAGCATTACTTCATGGGGCAGATTTTGTAAACGGTTGTATACTGTAAAGGGTTAAATCAGCGTTTTGTGATTTTTAAGTGACAGATTTTCTGTGATTGAAGTTTATTCTTCAACAATGTCTACTCCATCCCCAACAGCCCTATGACTATTATCTTTACATTAGTTAAAAGGTTAGTATATAGGCATCAAACAACCTTGGCTGTAACCTATAGAATCTCTATCTATGTATCAAGTTATAAACTGGTTGTTCAAAAGTGAACAATTCTGTGATAAGTTGGAGTACCATTTAGTAACATAGCAACATTGTATCATTTATTAGCATTATAATTCCTTGTTATATAAGTTAAATATATCAAGAAAGAAGAGAGTATTACTTTGGAAAAATGTGATTCAAATTTTATGGCATATAGTTTTGGTATGCAGTAAAGACAGCTAACTTTTCTTATGAAAAATACATATTTGCATGTAAATAAGGATTTCAAAATACTTGAAAAAATTTTAACCCAAAGGAATAAATAAAAATTATAAAACAAGCACAAAACCTTAGGGAAGTCATAAAATAATAGGGAAAGTACTAGACAGAAGACATCTGCTTTCTGGTTTCAACACTAGAATGACCAAAACTATCTACCTATAAAACTGTCTATAGACAGTATATTATCTATACTCTGCTTGACAAGCTCAGAAATTAAATATTTTTAGTAATAAAAATCTGTTCTGGTTATAAACCCTGCTAATGAAAATATAATACATATAAAAATGTATTGCCATGCTATTTTCTAGTATAAATTCCTTTGAAATTATAAGTCTTTGGGGAAAAATATAAGGTAAAATATTCCTGGTTTTCCCCTTTGAAAAACTCAGGAGAAAGGAAGATTAAACTAATAAAATTGTATTTCTTAAGTATAAATATGATCTAAAATATTTTCTCAAACTAATTCATGAAGCAGCAACTCTTACCAATACCTTTGAATACTCTCAATCCTCATTCAATGTAAATAAAATTTTAAAATCCTTTCATAGTTTCTATTAGAAATAAGTAGGAAATTTTGATATATTATACATATACACGTGTGTATATGTGTGTGTATATATGTGTATGTGTGTGCCTCTGGTCAACTCTAAGGATGACAAGCACTGTGTAACAACACCTGGGTCAACTCTTTTAATTTATATACAAAGCAAAAAACGACATAAATAGAGATATACAATGATTAATCAAACAAGCTATACATATGTAAGGCAAACAGACATACAACAAAACAGTCTCTGCAAACTGATCGTATGCAGTAAGAATAGATCAAAACCTAAGGGACTTTTGACAAACACTTCTTGAAAATGTTCATTGTAAATGGTTTCAAAAATACAAATTATAGCCAATTAAAACATTGCTTTGGTTAGTCCATTGAAGTATCCAGTTCAAAAAGCATATCAAATCTTTAGGGTACTAGGCAGTTTCCAGAGTAGAATGGTAGTATTCTTTGCTAAAAGGGTTCTGTTTTCAGTAACAGTACTAAGTAGAAGGGGTCTGTAGATTACAAATTGGAATATGCTCTATTATATTCTGAAACAAGAATTAAAATGACTTGAGAATGGGCAAATAATAAAGCAAACCAATTTAATTATATGGCCATTCTGACCCTAGCTCTTATACAAATTATACATATATTTGGGCATGTTTGTGAGAGTTGTATGTATGTGAACATGTGTGCATGTGTATTAACATACACATATGTACTGGAACTTATTGTAGAAAAGGAAATGAGTAGGGAATAAAAAAAAAAAGAAAAACCTGGGACCTAAGTATAAATATCTCATTTTAAAGTAAACAATAAGTTTATAGTTAACAAAGATTTTTTTTCTATTTAAAAAACAATCCATTTTCCTAATGAACAAAGTAATTTAAAAAAAAAAAGACATCACTAAAAGACCAAGGTACAAAACATAACATGGACTATAAGCTTGAATCTAGGAAAAAAGATCAAAAACCAGTCAAGAAAAAGGTACTAGTTTTAGGAGTTCAAAATTCAGTGAAACAAACTTTTTGCAGTAGACCTACGGATCTGAGAAACAGAATTAGGGAAAGTTTACACTTACCTATATATCAGCAGATATTTCTGGAAGAAACCTTTTTTTTTTTTTTTTTTAAACAGTAACATCCAAAGTGACAAACTGAAGGAGAATTAATGTATAAAATTTCTAGGAATTTAAAGCTTAAACCCCAAAATTCTTCATCCATATATGTTATACAAAATTACAGAATTGAAAGTTCATGTACCTCAATTATTTGCATATGCCTAAATTATTTTGGAAATAAAAGTATGTTTTACTTTGAAATTGCTCAACTTCCACTATTCATATGGTCTGATTAGTGACATAAGCAGCAGTTGTTTTTCAACTTTAGTTTCATTCACTACCATTGTTTCCAAATTATCAATCTCTGATAGTAATTGTGAATCTAAGACCATATTATTATCAAAAACCAAGAGACCAATCATATATCTGAAAATAAATCCCTATTAAAAAATTCTCTCTCCTGTCATTGAGAACTATGCATTGAACATTTTGAATCATTCTAAGCCTCTGGAGAGACTGTAATGATCTATTTATGAGCTGGTATAAAATCAGTGAGAAGCAGAACAACAAAAAAACTTTAAAAGCAGCAAAAAAGTATGTACCATATATATACACTGTAGCAAATATTTTATATTTGGGAGTCTTTACAACTTACATTTCCATTCCATTATTACAAGTGATGAAAAACAAAAAAAATGCAAATAGCATGCAAATTATAAATACACAGTCTTACCACTTCACTAACCAAATTCTTACTTTCCCGTGTTACTTCCCAATTTATGCAGCAAACTGCCTGCAAAGCTCAAACTGATTAGAAAATTCTTTATAGTTTAAAATAGTTCTTTCTCATTTTTAGAGAAGTCAAATAGCCAACCATCAAAATTAAGAATAAATTGAATTGTCACAGTCCATTACAGTTATTGTTACTAGATCCACCTCATTTACAGATGTCCAAAATATAAAACGAATAATTCTTTATCTTCATATTCATCTGTTCTTCAAATGCTACTTAAAACTTTGGTTGTTTTCCTGTATAATAAAATAAAAGGTTAATATACCAACTGATTGAATACAGTTTTTACTAATTAGTTTATCAAACCAAATACTGTGAATGTACCAGGTGTTTATAGATGTAAATGCATGTTACTATAGAAACTATTAAAGTAACAAACTGTCAAATAACAAAACAGTTCATGTTTTAAAAATATATGTAGTTCATTAAAAAATATATTAAATTGTATTCCAAACTTCTTGTTCTGTTTCTGTGGTACCTAGCTTTAAAAAAATGTATTAATGTGTAAATCAAAAGTAAAATTAATTGTAATGTATGTTTGTTTAAAAAAGTGTATGTCAAGCTTTTATTTACACAATAAAATGTTATTAAAGATGGAAAGTCTAAAAATGAAAAATTGACTGTAGTTTATATAGCACTGAAGATTATATTTATTCTTACAGACCATGGATTACATATCCCAAAGATTGTTGAACAGGTGGGAAAGTTCAAGTACATTTTTTCTTATTTAATATTCCTGTGCCAGAAGTATTATAAAAATATTTTAACTCCTTAAAAAGAATTGAAACCTTAAAAAGAACTGGCTAGAGATCTAAAGTTAGGGAGTTTAGGTGCCACTGCAGTATGAGAAAAAAAAGACCTAACACCATAAAAACCCTAGAAGAAAACCTAGGCAACACCAATCAGTACATAGGCATGGGCAACAACTTCATGACTAAAACACCAAAAGCAATGGCAACAAAAGCCTAAATAGACAAATGGGATCTAATTAAACTTAAGAGCTTCTGCACAGCAAAAGAAACTATCAATAGAGTGAACTGGCAACCTACAGAATGGGAAAACTTTTTACAATCTACCCATCTGACAAAGGGCTAATATCCAGAATCTACAAAGGACTTAAACAAATTTACAAGAAAAAAGCAAACAACCCCATCAAAAAGTGACAAAGAATATGAACAGATACTTCTCAAAAGAAGACATTTGTGCAACCAACAAACATATGAAGAAAAGCTCATCATCACTGGTCATTAGAGAAATGCAAATCAAAACCACATTGAGATACCATCTCATGCTAATTAGAATGCCCATCATTAAAAAATCAGGAGACAACAGATGCTGGAGATAATGTGGAGAAACAGGAATGCTTTTATATTGTTGGTGGGAGTGTGTGGTGATTCGTCAAGGATCTAGAGCTAGAAATACCATTTGACCCAGCAATCCCATTACTAGGTATATACCCAAGAGATTATAAATCATTTTATTATAAAGACACATGCACATGTATGATTATTGCTGCACTGTTCACAATAGCAAAGACCTGGAACCAAACCAAATGCCATCAATTATAGCCTGGATAAAGAAAATGTGGCACATATGCACCATGGAATACTATGCAGCCATAAAAAAGGATGAGTTCACATCCTTTGCAGGGACATGGCTAAAGCTGGAAACCATCATTCTCAGCCAGCTGACACAAGAACAGAAAACCAAACACCAAACACCACATGTTCTCACTCATAAGTGGGTGTTGAACAATGAGAACACATGAACACAGGGAAGGGAACATCACACACTAGGGCCTGTCAGGGATGAGGGGCTAGGAGAGAGATAGCAGGGGTTGGGGGATAGGGGAGGGATAGCATTAGGAGAAATACCTAATGTAGATGATGGAGTGATGGATGCAGCAAACCAGCATGGCATATGTATACCTATGTAACAAACCTGCACATTCTACACACGTACACCAGAACTTAAAGTATAATAAAAAATAGAAAGTTTACAACATAACATTTAAAAAAATTATAATCTGAGAAAAATGCTGTGAATTCCAAAGAATTAGAATCCCAAAAATGGAGATAAGAGGTAGTAGTGTATATTTCCCATTCGAACTATTCTCAGTATACCTATATTCTGAGTCTCATTTCAGTAGAGTCATAGCTGTCTTTACCTAAATAAAAGCATTTATGAAAACTCTAATACAAAGTTAAATTCCAGTCAAACTTAAGTAGAGACCACAAAGAATGGGATCATTTACTAAGTGCATAATGAGAGAAAAGTATCATACTCAGTACTTCCCTGCATTATTTTATTAATCCTAACATCCAGAGATTATCATCCTTATCAGCAATAGCAAAACTAAGGTTCAATGAGGTTAAATGAGTTGTCTAAACCTGAACTACGAGCACACAGAGTGGAGCTACAATTTGAAGCCCTATCTGATGACAAAACCCATGTCCTTTCCAATGACTATCCTAAGATGCATGTATGTATTTATTATGTGTATTTATTTAGATGGAATTTGATAAGGAAACACAGAAATATAAAGGGCTAAGAATAGCAAAGACGTGTTAAAGAAAAATATGTGATATGATTTGTTATACTGCATAAAAAAACTAATTGAACAGAATAGATAGCCCATTAACAGACGATGCATATATTGCCACGAAGATGTCAGAGAAGTAATAAATATTTTTTTAAATGACTGGAAATCCATGTATAAAAAGGTAAAACGACGCCCACCCCATAGAGTAAAATTAATTCCAGGTGAATGATATAATTTAATAGAAAAACTAAAACTTTTTGAGTATGGGACAATATTTTCATTCAATTAAGAATATTTGATTCCAATATTTAAGAATATTTCTTAAACAAAATATAGCTATTCCATTCTGTTTCTTGGGTAGAGTTACTTTATAATAACTGGTTATATTATACATTTAGAGTTTTGCAGTTTTCTGAATTACTTATATTTTGTAATAAGGAAGGTTAAAAATCTAGAATATGTTAAAGGCAAATTTTTTGTAATATAATATTACAATACAATATTAGAAAACTACTTACTGGTTTCTGCAGTACAATGGGATGATCAGGCAGAAAGTCTGGTTTTTTTCTGCAGATGGAAACACTTGAGAGCTTCAACAGGAAATCTCTGCTGTATTTAATTCTCTCTGTAGATATTAAACATCAAATATAATGGTATGAAATGTAGAACTATCTAGATCACTTTTTGGTTCATCTCTTTCTAGATATCCTCTATTCATTATCTTATAAAATGATGAGTAGTGTCTACGCAAAAGAGAAGGAGGAGAAAAAAAAGCTTTGAAAAGTATCTTACTGCCTCCAATTCTCCTTTTACACAGAAAGAAAACCAAGTAACCAAGGAAAAATAAAAGAAATATAATTAGAAAAATGGGAAATACATGGCTTTTTTCATCTGGTTATTCAAGTCTAGTAAAATGATCTTGTATAAAGTATAACCACAGTAACAACTATTGGGCAATTCAGATCCTGCCAAAATGTAACCTTAATGAGCCTATCTAGTCTCAATACTAAACATTTAATACAATAAAAATAAATTCATTTATTGTACATCTTACTATGTATCAGGAACTGTGCTAGGTTAATAATGAATAGGATCCAAGATAGGGCCCCTATCTTCAAGGAGAACAATGTTTCAAATATCTGCAGATTTCACATCAGAAATGATTACCAGAAATGATCACCCAGATTATATGTTGTGCCAGAAGACAATGGAATAATGTTTTTAATGTGCTAAAGTAAAGAACAGTCACCGAGAATTTCATATCCAGTAGGGGAAAAAAATCCCTCATGAATGCATGTGAAGGAAAGACATTTTCATATAAAGTAAAACTGAATTCATCACCAGCAGATGTGATCTTCAAGAAATGCTAATAGAAGTTCTTCAGGCTGAAGGAAATTATACTAGATGGAGACTTTACTGTTCAGAAATAAAGAGCAAAAGAGATGGTAAATAGGTAAGTGTAACAGATTCCCTTTTTTCTCTATGTTTTATTTTTAAAAATATGTATTACTGTTAAAAGCAAAAGCAGCCACAGATAATATATAGATGAAGGGTGTGGCTATGTTTCAATAAATTTTTATTTATAAAAACAGGAATTGGCCTGTAGGCCATAGTTTTCTGACCCCCCATGTTAAACATTACATTAAAGACTACAAATTGACAGAGTGGATTTAAAAAATAAGAAGACCCTACTATATACTGTCTTCAAGAGACATACATTAAATAAAAAGATATATAAGTTGAAAGTAAATGGATATGAAAAAATACACATGCAAAGACTAGGAATAATAAGGCTTGAATTATTATCCTATCTTCCTATCAACTAAAAGGTAGGAATTATCAATGTGTTGTTCCTAATACACAGTTCTGAAATACATTAAGCAAAAATTAACTTACCTGAAATTTTGGGTCTGGCTTCTTTAACATTTTTGAGGTTCATCCTTAATCTGGAACATTCTATATAGCTAAACCATCAGTCAAGTGTGAGAACAGAATAAAGATATTTTCAAATATACAAACTCAAAGAATTCACAACCCAATATCCTTTTTTTATGAAACTTCTGGAGAATGCACTTGGGCAAAACGAGGATATAAATCAAAAAAGAAGAAAACGTAGAACTCAAGAAATGGAGGTAAGTGTTGTCAGAGAAAATGGCCAAGCAGAGAACTGTAAAAGTCTTTCAGTCCACAAAAACAAGTAAGCTCATAAAAGCTGTCAGAATCAATTTTCTCAGAACCCTGGAATCCAACCCAAAGCTTGTAAAAACCAGGGGAATGCTTAGTGAAGAAAAAAATAGCTAAATTTGGGAAAAGTTTTGTGGCATGCAACTTACCTGAGACTATTTCCCAGATAGGTCATGGCCTTGCAGACAACAGCCCTCATTACTTTTACAGGTTCCCAGAACTGGAGGGAGTAGTGTAGACTTTATTTTCAAAAAACTATGATTATTTGTTTTGACCTTTCTGGTGGTTCCCTGAAGAACCATCTCAAGAAGCCTGCCTGTACTTCACACCTAAGAATTCTCCCAGCATTAAGGCTGCTACCCAAAATCCATTTGTCCAAACATATACAGGAAAATGTGTTAGCTGCTTCCACCTGAGACAAGGAATAACAGTTGGAGCAAACATTAGGCATACAAAAAAGCTTGGGAGGAAAAGCTAATAACAAGATGCTTTGAGGAAGAAGGGCACTGACAGAATCCCAGATATTATTTCTAGAAGCTCACATGCATGTTAAAACTAGGCTTATGCTCACAGAAAAGTTTGAAAAGATCCTAAGCACTCACTCCTAGTTGACTTTCAGATTCCTAGCAAGCAGACAATGAAGGTGAAGGCAGAATTGATGCAATACCTCAAAATAAGAGGCCTTATGCAAAGGCTTAAAGAGGTGTTTCTTTGTTTTTCAGTTTGGTATGGTTCTAGGTACTGAAGGAAATTCTGTCAAATCACTAGCTGACCACTAAGATAACAGAACAAAGACTTCAATGGTCCTGCATGACAAAGATTATAGATTTTACAGTATTCATGCAGAAAAGTCACTAAGCCAACAACAACTACTACTACAAAGAGTAACAATAAATCCAACGGAAGGAAAAAAATCTGATTTCCAGAGCAGCTAAATTACAACATTCAAAATGTCCAGTTCTCAATTACAACAACAAAAATTATAAAGCATGCAAAGAATAAAGAAAGTATGGGCTCATGCACTGGAAAAAAGAAATTAATAGAAATTTTCACTAAGGAAGCCAAAACATTGAATTTACTAGAGAATCGCTTTCAATAAACTACTTTAGACATGCTTTAAGAGCTGAAGAAAATTATTTCTAAAAGTGTCTCATTAAATAGAGAATACCAATAAAAAGATGGAACTTATAAGAAAAAAATATTAAAATTCTTGAGTAGTACAATAACTAAAATGAAAAATTCATGAGAGGGTTTCAACAGCAGGTTTGAGCAGGCAGAAGAACGAATCAACAAATTTAAAAGTAATTCAGTCTGAGGAGCAGAAAGAAAAAAGAAGAAAATGAACGCAGCCTAAGACACTTATGATCAAGCATACCAACAAATATATAATGGGAGTCCCAGGAAAAGGTAGAGAAAAAGGAGAAAAAATGATATTTGAAGAAACTGTAGAGTAAAATTTACAAAATTTAACAACAAAAAAAGAATCTATACATCCAAGAAGTTCAATAAAGTACAAAGAATGCAGACAGCCCCTACTTATGATGATTTGACTTACAACTGTGTGACTTTATGATTATATAAAAGCAGTTCAATTTATCAGTCTTTAAGCATGGGTAATACTCTGACCAAAGACTTTCTGGGCCAAAGACTCTTCTATTAATTTACTTATTTTCAACTTATGATGGGTTTATTGGGAAGTAATCCTACCATAAGTTAAGGAGCATCTATCTGTATACTAAAAGAGATTCTTCACACATAGATACATCATCATCAATCTATCAAAGTGAACAAAAATCTTGAGGTCAGAAAGAGAGTAGCAGTTCCTCAGTTACAATGGATTCTCTATCAGATAAACAGCTGATTTTACATCAAAAACTATTGATGTCAGAAGTCATGGGATGACATACTTAAAATGCTGAAAGCACAACATAAAGGTGAGTTTTGAGATATACATAGGAGCAATGTTTTATATAACATCGAAACTAAGTTGATATTAATTCAAACTAGTTTGTTATAATTATATTAATATCCAACACAACAACTAGGAACATATAAAATATAGTAAAGAAAATTAAAATAAAATAGTACACTAGAAAATATCTATTAAACACAAAAAATAGTAATGGAGGAATTCAATAACAAAAAAAGACATATAGAAAACAAACAGCAAGATGGGAGGATTAAGTCCTTCTTTCTCAGTTAATTACATTAAATGTAAATGTACTAAACTTTTCAATTATTATAAAAGGCAGAAATTGGTAAATGAATATTTAAAAATAATCTAAGTATATTCTGTCTACAAGAGACTCATTTTGGATCCAATGATGAAAGTAAGTTGAAAGTGAAAGACTGTAAAAGATATTCAATGCAAGCAGTAATCAAAAGACAGCTGGAGTGAGTATACTAATATTAGATAAAAAAAAGACATTAAGACAAAAATTGTTATAAGAGACAACAAAGGACATTTACAAAATGAAAAAAGCATCAATTCATCAAGAATATATAACAATTATAAGCACATATGTACACAACAGGAAGAAAAACAGAATTAAGCACAGAAATAGACATTTCAACATTAATAACTGGAGACTTCAATATCCCATTCTCAATAATGGATAGGAAAACTTGATGGAAGATCAACAAGAAAACAGAATTTGAACACCACTACAAGCCAACTAATCTAATGACATATATACAACACTTTACCCAACAACAGCAGAATATAGATTCTTCTGAAGCACATATGGAACTACAGCACACATGTTCCACACACATAGAACATTCTCCAGGATGAACTCATATGTTAGGCCACAAAAGTCTCAATAAATTTAAAAAGATTCAAATCATATAAAGTATGCTCTATGACCACACTGAAATAAAACTAGAAATCAAAAACAGAAGTAAACTGGAAAATTCACAAATACATGTAAATTAAAACATACTCTTAACCAATGGATCAAGGAATAAAAAACAGGGGACTTAGAAAATATGTGACAAATGAAAACAAAGTCAGAACTTATCAAAACTTACGAGATGCAGTAAAAACAATGTTTGGAGCATAGTTTATAGCTATAAATGTCTATTTTAAAAAAGAAGAAATAGCATAGCTAAATATCTAACATTACACATTAAGGAACTAGGATAAAAGAGCAAACTAAATCAAACAATAGAAAAAATGAACTAAATAATAAAGATCGGAGTGAAGATAAATTAGACGAAAAAGAAAACAGAAAAAACTGGCAAAACCAAAAGTTGATTATTTGAAAAGATAAAAGCAAACAAACCTTTACCAGGACTGATTAGGAAAAAAATGATTCAAATTACTAAAATCATAAACAATGATCTTGCATCCTGCAACTTTGTTTAATTTATTTTTATTAGCTCTAATAGTCCATGTGAATTCCCTAGGATTTTCTATATATACAGATGCTCCTCAACTTACAATGGGGTTATACCCTAATAAACCTATTTCAAGTTAAAAATAGGAAAAGACGAAAATGTATGGCTGACTAGGAGTGGCATCCAGCATCAGCAGAAAAGTACAGTTTCTACTGAACAGATACTGTTTTTACACTATTATAAAATAAAAAAATTTTAAGTCAAACCATCTTAAGCTGGGGATCATCTGTATAGGACTGTGTTCTCTGTGAATACAGATACTTTTACTTCATTTTTCCCAATTTAAATGTCATTTGTTTCTTTCTCTTACCTAATTGCTATGGCTAGAACTTTCAGCATAACATTGAATAAAAACAGTGAAAACAGGCACCTTATCTTATTCTTGATATTAGGGGACAAGCTTTCAGTCTTCACCACTGAGGATGATTTTAGCTGTGAGTTTATCATATATATATTTGTCATGTTAGTTTCTATCAAGAAGGGATGTTGGGCTTTGTCAAATGCTTTTTCTTCAATTGAGATGATCATGTGTTTTCCCCCGAATTCTATAAATGTGGTGTATTAATACTAATTTTGATATGTTGACTCACCCTTGTATTCTTGAGATTAATCCCACTTGAACATGGTATATAATCTTTTTACTATGTTGATAGTAAAGTTTTTGTATTTTATTGAGGATTTTTGTATCTATATTTGAAGGGATATTGGCTATAGTTTTCTTTTCTTCTGATGTCTTTGGCTTTGCTATCAGAATAATATTGGCCTCACTGGAAGTGTTCTCCCCTCTTCATTTTTTTGGGAAAAGTTTGAGGATTAGTGTTAATTGTTTTTTAAATATTTAGTCGAATTTACCAGTGAGAAGCCATCTAAGTCCTGAATTTTTCTTTGTTGGGAGGTTTTTAATTACTGATTCAATCTTCTTACTTGCTATAGGCCTATTCAAATTTTCTATTTCTTCCTGAGTTAGTTTTGGTAAATTCTGTGTTCCTAATCTTTCTGTTTTATCTAGGTTATCAATTTTTTTGGCATACAACTATCTGTTCACAATATTCTCATAATATGTTTTATTTTCATAAATTCATAGTAATGTCCCCCCATAAAATAAATTTATTTTATATATGATCAATGAACAATGACAAATTCCATACACAATAGCATCAGAAAATAATACAGTACTTAGGAATAAATTTTACCAAAAGGTACATGACTTGAACACTGAAAACTATAAAATACTGCTAAAAGAAGTTAAAGTATACCTAAATGGTAAGATTTCTTATGTTTATGGATTGTCAGATTTAATATTGTTAAGATGGCGATATTCCTCTTGAAGTGATATATAGATTCAATGCTATCCCTATCAAATTTCTAATGGCCTCTTTTGCAGAAATGGAAACACTGATCTTAAAAAAAAAATCACATGAAATTGCAAAGACCCCTAAATAGCCAAAACAATTTGGAAAAAAAAACAAATTTGGAAGACTTACACTTCCCAATTTTAATAGTTACTACAAAGCTATGGTAATTAAAAAAGTGTGGTACTGACATATAACATGTTTTATATGACAGGCATATAAAACAAGAGAACAGAAGTAAGAATCCAGGAATAGACATATTAAACACATTCAATGAAAAAAGAACAGTATATTTTACAAATTATGATGGGACAAGTGGTTATCTGCACGACAAACAATGAAGGTGGACTTTCATCTGCCATGATATATAGAAATTAACTCAAAATAAATTAAAGACCTAAATGCAAGAGCTAAAGCTATAAAACTCTTAGAAGGAAACAGGAGTAAATCTTAATGACCTTAGATGTGGCGATGATTTCTTAGATATGGCACCAAAAACATGAGAAACAAAAGGAAAAATAGTTAAACTTCAGCAAAGCTAAAAAATGTGTGCATTAAAAGACACTATCAAGAGAATAAGAGAAGCGCCAGTAGAGAATGAAAAGACAATATAAATACACATGCATACACTGGAAGGAGAAGGGTGGCAGGAAGAAGAAGGAGGAGAATAGATAATAGATAAGAGTCTAATATCCAGAAGTCTTGCAACTCAATAACAAAACAACTGCATAACAAACAACCCAGTTAAAATATTGTTAAACAACTTGAATAAAGCATTTTTTCAAAAAAGAAATAGAAATAGCTAACAAGTACATCAAAAAACAAAATAATTAATCATAAGAAAAATACAAATAAAAACCACAACGAGATACTACTTGTCACCCATTAGGATTGCTTACAATAAAAAGAGATTATAATCGCAAGGCTATTGAGATATTGGAAACCTGAGTACCTTGCAACTAAGAATGTAAAATGGTAGAACTGCTGTGAAAAAAATTTGGCAGTTCCTTCTAAACACAGAATTACCAATGAACCAGCAAGTCTGCTCCTAGGTATATACCTGAGAGAAATGAAAACAAGTGTTGAACCAAAAACTCATACACAAATGTCCACAGCAATATTATTCACACAAGCCAAAAAGTGAAAACTCAAATGTGCATCAGTTGAGAATGGATAAACAAAATGTGACATAATTCATATAATGGAATATTTTTTAGTCATAAAAAGAAATAAAGTACTGATAGTGCTAAAACATGATGAACCTTGAAAACCTTATGGAAAGTGATAGAAGCCAGACACAAAACATCACATATTGTTCACAAGAGAAAGGTAAATGTTTGAAGTGATGGATATATCAATTTCCCTTATTGATCTTTACACATTGCACATGGGTATCAAAATACCACATGTGCCCAATTATTTTAATTGATATAAAATATGCACAGCTATTATATATCAATTTAAAAATAAATGGAAAAATGTCACATATTATATAATTCCATTTATATATAATATGGCCAGATAGCTAAATCTAAGTAGAAATAGGTTAGTGTTTACCACATGGCCTAGGCAGAGGGGAGAGAAAGTAGTAACAGCTTAATGAGCATGAGGTTTCTTTCTAGGGTGATAAAAATGTTCTGGAATTGGTAGTATTGTTGCACAACATTGTGAATGTGCTAAAAGCCATTGAATTGTACATTGTAAAATTGTTAAAATGGTGAATGGGTGAACTCTGCTTCAATTTTTTAAAAAAGAAACCAAAGGATCATAAAGGAATATCCCAAGATAATAGCAAAGGTCCACTGCAGAAAAAATAGCTGCACAGCAGTACTAAAGGACAACTAGTCCATATTGGAATAGGATAATGGAGTATTCTGAAAGGAATGTCCCATCTAAGGAAAAAAAGAACTGATATACTTGAGCATAAATATAAACAAGTGTGACAGAATTGTCAGAGCATTTTAGGAAAAGAATTAACAATAGATAACAGAAAAATAAGGTAACCATTAGCTCTAGAATAAGTAATTAATTGCATGAAAAGGAAGATATGCACCTCTTGGCTAAGCAGCTATATTTTACAGTCATAATAGTATAAAGAGTGAGTAACACTTTATTTGAAACTTGTGAAATAATTACATGGTGAGGAGATGGAAAGGTGAAGAAGCAAAGGAACTTAAGTTCTCAATTACCAAGATAAAACATCAATATATAGTTTTTTAAAATCGAGAAATTTGAAAATAATTGTATTTAGAAATATGATGATAAATATTAGAAGAAAAAACTAATGGTATTTTCGTATGTCAAACTTTTAAACTACATACATTGATTGACAAAAATTTGGAAACTAAATTAAAGAATCTTATTTTATTTTAAAATAGCTACTGTGGGAGAAACTATTGGTTCTCCCCTAGAGCAGTTCTTTCTTTTTATATCAGTAATAGAATTAACTGACTGTATTGCCAAAGGCTATGTTTCCCTGTCTACCCTGCCAGTAGGCACAGCATGACCAAGTTCTGGCAATGGGATGTAAGTGGAAGTACTATGTGCAACTTCTGGGTCATACTCTAAAGGTGAATTTCCTTCCCCCTTCCCTCCTTCCTAATGGCGACACAAGGAACATGATGGCAGGAGTACAGGCAGTTATCTTGAGGCCATGAGATGAAAGCCATGTATTGAAGATGGCATAGCAATAAGGTAAAAGAACAATAGGAAAATAGAAACTTTACAGGGAAAAATCATTATGACAGTTCAGAATTTTACATGATATAGAAAATCTAGTAATAAATTTCTATCTTGTTGATGCGATTATATTCCAGTGTCTCCTCGAAAGCGGTCAAACTGGTAGCCTGACTTATACAAATAGAAATCAATCTAAAAATATATAATAAAATTTCATATTACATAGGTTTGGATCTGAGCAATAAAATAATATTAACTTATATGAATGCTAAGACATCCTATGATGAAATTGGGAATTGTGATAAAATTTTACCTTTTTTAACTGGAGACTGATGTTGCTGCTGTTCATTAAGACCTTGTGAAAAGGGTTGTATTCCATTCGTCTTACACTATTGAACATGAAGAAAGTAATTTTTTAACTTAGGTTTTAAAATTGTATATAATTCATTTAACTACCCAAAAATATTATTATTATTTAACTACCCAAAAATATTATTTTCCTAATAATAAATGTATTAGTCAATCCATTTAGTGGGGGCTAAGTAATAGCAATCATTCTAAGTCTGCTTATTAAAAATGAGCAACAAAAACATCTTTCAAAATATATTCACATATTTCTATAGTTTTTTGACATTATTATGATTATTAAAAAGGAAAATAAAACTAAGGATGAATGTTGTTGTCCTAAAGATAAATAATTCCATAGCTATTAAAAAAAATTTTCCTGAAAAAAATGCCATTCAGAAGAAAAATTTAATTGATGAAAACAACACATTTTTATTCACAAAAATTCTGCAATAATACTATTTACTTTTTAAATATCTGAAGTAGAGGCTAATGTCACTTTATAGGCATATGGACTATTTCATCAAATGCCTTGGAAATAAGATAAATAAGAAAAATTGATGTATCTGATGAGACAAAGAAAATCAGAAACACTGGCATAGCTCTATGTCTTAAAGAGAGATGCCTTAGTACAGAGTTTCTCCAGTCTCACTTGCAAGAGCATCTTTATTATAAGATTGGCTCAACTAATCTAATGATATTTTAAAAATCCATTTTTACCTAAATCCCTCTCTTCTGATTCCATGCTCACCAGGAAATATTCAGATTCAATGTAGCTATCCATAAATCTCCCTAGAAGTAAACAATACACCGGTTGTACCAATAAAAGGAACCCAGAACACAAGATGTTAAGATTTCTAATTAAAAAATAATTGGCATTCTGATTTTATAAATCAGTTTTATAAACTTGGTCAATAACTATCTACCCCTGAGAGATGATCTCCTCTTATGCTGACAAAGTCAGTTTGCAAACCATCCCTGAATTAAGATAAATCATGAAGGCAGGTTTCTTTGGAGGAGGCATTTATCCTGAAAAATAAATATCTCTGCTCCATCATTGTATTGATGAATTATACAGAAATTAAATTTCTGTAAATGCTAGCTACTCCACCTAAAGGCAGGAGGACTAATTATCTAATGCTATGACACAATAAAGTCCATGGAGATAATTCTCACTATTTCGTCAAGAATGTCATCAGATAAAAGTCAAGTTGTAGTAGAGCTTTTTATTTTTAAGCAGAGATAGAAAAAATGGAAAATGTCTGTGATTTGGGTTCTCCAAAGATCTTCTAGACTGTTGTATTTAATTAACTATAAAATGGTATTATACAAATAAAAAACTATTTCTAGTCTCTGGAAATGTTAGCAGATGCACACTTCACTAATTTTTAACATCGACTTAAATGTAAGATCGAAAATCAAATTTGAAGGTAAAATTGTACTTTGTCATGTCTGTACATATTAAAATTTTTAAATAATGATTATTTTAAATCTTAGTAGCATATAAAAAGTATACCTACAAAAAGTTTTACACAGTGATCATCTATATGTTATCTCATTTATTATTATCCTATAAGGAATAAGGCAAGTGTTATGATCATTGTGTTATAGGTAAGGAAAATCAGACCAGATGAGTGTCAGAAGTGACACTGTGTTAGTTTCCAGTTCCACGTATTAAGAGACTGGCAACTTCTACCTCCTGTTTCTTTGAACATTAGTCTTAGAACCTATGTGTAGTGTTATAAGAAGTGCAAGCCACTGGGAAAGGCCATTCATAAGTGCTCACTCCAGTTCATAGTACTAGCTGAGCTCCAAGCCAATAGCCAGTTGACAACCTACTAGCAGGGTAGACTGGGAAACATAGTACTGGATACAATCCAATGTTTGTCAACTGATGAATAAACAAATTGTTTTATATTTACAGTTGCATTCTATTCCACATTAAAAATCCAACTACTTATATATACAACATGAAAGGATCTCATAAACATAAGGCTGAGCAAAAGAACCCAACACCAAGGAATACATATTATCTCATTTCATTTATATGAAACTCTAGAAGAGTCAAAACTAACTTATCTATCATTAAAAGAAGCAGACCAATGGATGTATGGAGCAGGAAAGAGGGTTTGGGGTTAGTGTAAGTGGAGGTAGTAAATGATTGCAAAGGAACATAAGGACATTTTTGAGGAAGATGGAAGATTTTCATTGTGGGGTTCATTACATGGGATAAATATTTCCAAAACTCACTGAACAAATGAGTTCACTTTACTGTACGTAAATTACACCTCAATAAAGGTGATTTAAAAATATATCAAGTATCTTTAACATAGGTTCTAACAACTTTTGCATTATAATGGAAGCAGCAGACAAAATTGTATGTTTGGAAGTAATTTAATTCCATAATTTGATTTTTCTCTATAAAACTGCAATATTAACATATTAATTTTTTACATATAAAGTAAAAGAAGGTCAACGGTTCCAAAAAGGAATGAATATTACTGTTGTATTAGGGAAATGTTAGCTGCCAGAACAAATAAAACATTTCTATGACTTATAGAAAACTTTAATAAAGCCAGCATAATTAAGACATCATGATATTGATATACAGACACATGAAAATGATCACTAGAACAGAATAAAGAGCCTAGAACAGATATAGCTACATGAAAACTTATTATCTAATAAAGATTCCACTATAAATTAGTGTGGAAAGGATGAATTATTCAATGAATCATGCTTTATAATCAGTTGCTTATAGGCAAAAAACTAGATTTCTATATTACACCATCCAAAAAAATCACCTTCAGGTAGACTATACACCTAAGTATGAAAGCAAAACTTTAAATTTTTTGGAAGAATATACAAGAAAATATCTTAATTTCGGGACTGTGAAGACTTCTTAAAAGTGAAATCCTAAAGAAAAACATTGATAATATGATATTAATATTTAAAACTTTTAAATAAAAAAAAATGACTCTCACAGACCATATTCCTGGAAAAGAAAATATTTGTTATGAACATAAGAAAAATAATTAGAATCCAGAAGGTATTTTAAAGGCATATAAATTTAAAAAAAGAAAACTCAGGAAAAGTAGGATAATGATATGAATTGGCAACTCACGAAAGAGAAAATCCCAATGATCAAACTAAACATATGAAAAGATGCTCTACTTCACAAGTAACAGAGAATTAAAAATTAAACCAACCAAAATATATAATTTCCCATCCACTGTCTTACCCAGTGTTCAAGTTTGACAACAGCAAGGTGAGGACGTAGGAAAAAATCAGAGCCCCTGCTCATACAAATTGCTTTGGAGAGTAATTTGGCAGTATCTAAAAGTTGAAATTAAGAGCACTTAGCAATTCTATCCTAATTTTATGACACAGAGAACCTCTCAAACATGTAAAAATGAAACATATAGATGGCAGTCATGGTAGCATTTATTATAATATAGTAACCAGTGCCATCAACAGAAAAAAAATGTGGCATAGTCCCAAATATTAAAAGATTGTTCTGTATCAGCACATATTGAACTGCTTTATTAATTGTAAAGTTGCCTAGTATTCCATTTATGAATATACTTATGGTTGGGCATGCATAGTCTATTCCTGGATAAGAAATAATATCTAGAGGCTGGTCACAGTGGCTCACACCTGTAATGCCAACACTTTGGGAGGCCTAGGCGGGTGGATCACCTGAGGTCAGAAGCGCGAGATCAGATCAGCCTGGCCAACATGGTGAAACCCCATGTCTACTAAAACTACAAAAAAATTAGCTGTACGTGGTGGTAGGTGCCTGTAATCCCAGCTACTCAGGAGGCTAAGGCAGTGAATCGCTTGAACCTTGGAGGTGGAGGTTGCAGTAAGCCAAGATTACACCATTGCACTCCAGTCTGGGCAACAAAAGTAAAACTCCATCTCAAAAAAAGAAAAAAAGAAAGAAATAGTATCTAGGTAAGAAACTAGTATAATGCATCTGAATAAGAAACTGGTACAATGCTTACTTTTGATCAGATGAAATAGGTGACTGGGACAGAGATTGGAGGGAAACTTCAATAAATGTCATTTTATACATTTTGAATTTTAAAGTTTCTGGCGAGTCAAAAAAATAAAATTTTTAATAAAATGTAAAAGCAAAAATGACAAAAACACATTTATGTAAAACTTAAAACAATTCTACTTATCATAGCAAAAGTACAAATATATTCATGGAAAAATGAACAAATTGAAGATAGTTATCTATGGGCAGGATGGTAAGGAAATGGGATGGTAGAAGCATATATATAGGGTTTGTAACTATATGTTAATTTTTTTTCTTTAAACTTTTTTAAAGCAAATATAGCAAAATGTTTAGATTTGAAAATGCTGGGTGACAGATAAATGCATGTTACATTCTCTTTAACATATGCTTAAAATATACAATAAATTTTTAGTAAGTATATAAAGCATAGTATCTGGCACACAATAGCCATCTAACATATGTTACTTTCCAATCTATAATATTTCTTTTTAATTTCTAAGACTTACTCTGCTAATAACTCCACTTTGTTTGCACTGAGTGTTGCATGGATATTCATTTTGAAAGTTGAAAGGGAACACTGCTCCTGTTAGGAGAGAGAAAAATGATTTTATATAACTATTATTTCAATAAATAATATCATCAACTAAAAAGCTTAAGTATCCAGGATATTCTTGGCACTGTTTTGAATTGTATTCAAAATTCATCCAACCTTATGAAATGTCAAATGCTGTATTAAAAGGATGGGCATATAGACATGAAAAGAGTTCAGAGATAAGAGTTCACAGTCCATTTTAAAAGACAAGCTCATATATAATGATACGATTTGATAAACTGTAAGTTTATTGAGAGATTTATAGAAAGTACTAGGGCATGCAGAGTAAATTTGGGGTATCACATAGGTTTCACAGGATGAAGTAATTAAATCTGAATCTGAATCTTAAAGAAAAAGTAGATAATTCCTTTAGGGATCTGCATTGGCCAGGGAGTATGTAAGTGTGTGAAGAAACACCAGAGTTAATTTCTGTTTTACTAGACTTTTCTGCCTAATAATTCCCTACTCTGCTGTCTGGATCTTAAGAAGATACAATTAAATAAGATACCAGGGCTACCTGCCCACTTTGTATTCTCCCTCATTCTCATTCTTCCATGTAACAATCTTGGAGAGAAATCAGTGAAAAATTGGATCTGCAGAGATGAAGTGGTGTGGGAGTTGCTGGAAAAAGTCTGGTCACAGAAAAGAACTGCTGCAATGGCTTTATATTCTTTCCTGTAGGATAAAATTTGAGACCTGACCCTACCCAACTGCTTCTACTGCACCAGAAGTATATAGAATCAATATTACTCAGCTATGGTCCCAAAAGATCCATAAATTTCATTTATCTGACCTAAGTCACAGGCATATTGAAGCAAACATGACCAATGTGGAGATTATCTTCCTTGAAGGATCCAATGATGGGAAAATGAACACAAGAAAGAAACTGGTGACACTTCTACCTTTTTTGCTTCATTTGTAGACTCAATAAAATATCTACATTTTCCTAAGTAGTAAGTTAATTCAGTTGAATACCCAGACTAAGAAAAATTTTTTGAAGTTGTATGTATATCACCTAAAGTAGACACAGGAGCCATTCTGGCAACAAGTAATGAATATAATTAAAAGACCTAATATTCCAATTTAGAAGTTAAATACCAGGTATTTCAATAATTTGTCCAAAAGAATATTTTCGTGGGTAAAAGAAAAATATTTTAGAATGTTTAAAATAAAATTTTTTAATTAGATATGTTTCAGTTCAAACATAGCCATAACCTCTATCAGAGCACAAGTATGACACAACTACTACAGAATCTTTAAGATTTATGCTAATCCTTTTTTTCTGCATTTAGGTATGCCCTTATTCTTTTAAAAGGTTAAATTATCTCTCCAGCATGATTGCCCTGCAGTGATCATAATCACAGGGCACAATTTGTACTGGGAGTATCACTCTAATCAGAAACTGGAAGCCTACAAAAAGGAGACATGAAAAAAAACACACACACACAAAGTTACTTTCAGTCAAGGGGTTATTCTTCTTCCCTTTGTTGGTCTATAAGACTATAGATTGGTAGATAATTACAAATCATTTTCTTTCAGTAATACTTATAAACTCTTAGTTTTCACGATCTCTTTAAATATCTATCTGAAACAATTACTGTATATATTAGCCTTTCAAATACATATTAGCTATTAATAAAGTAATATTTAAAGAACTGTACATTCTATTACTCACCTGGTGGAGAAGTCAGATGACGAAGAGGTCTTGCTGGTTGAAGCGGTTTACCAATTAATTTTTTGGTTTCCATTGTCACAAAGACCTTGAGGTTCCATACTTGAAGATGAAAAAACACATTGTTATCTTTTGGGCAAAACAATCAAGATGTTTACATATATACAGATAACCACAACTTTCTTTAAAGACACCTATTTTATAAGTTAAAGTGGAAAACACAAACACAAAAAAGCATTTAATATGCAACACTCAGACTTCTTTTATAGCATTTGTCACAGTTAAATATTCCCTCTTTAAAACATTTTCTTTCCTTAATTTTACTGACTCTATATTTCTTTTCTTTTTTCTTTTGAGGCAGAGCCTCACCCTGTCACCCAGACTGGACTGCAGTGGCACAATCATAGCTCGCATCAACTTCAAGCTCCTGGGCTCAAGAGATCCTCCTGTCTTAGCCTTCCAAGTAGCTGGGATTACAGGCATGAACCACCATATCCAGCTGTTTTTTTTTTTTTTTTTTAAGAGATGGGGGTCTCACTACATTGCCCTGGCTACGTTCTTTTGATTTGTTTCCTATTTCTTTGATTGCCTCTTCTAACTTCCTTAGCTGATTCCTCTTCTTCTGTCTTTAATTAAATGTAGGGGTTCTTACAAATTTGACGTTGGTCTTCTTAGTTAAAATTCATCTATGCTCATGGTTGCAGCTTTCTATCTACAAGATAAATATGCACTAATTTATACTTTCAGCATCCACTTCTCTTTTAAACTCCAGTTATATTTTTCTAATTGTTTAACAATATTTCAATTTATATATTATCACAGGTACCTCAAATTCAATATGTCCAAAATCAAATTAATGGCTTTGACTCCTGTATTCCTTTAAAGTCATCACCAACTCCCTCAGACTGCACTTGGTAAAACAGCCTTCAATTTGACAGTCTAAATTAGAGCCTCTGACCCCAAAATCAGTCTTTAATTCCTGTTCATGCTACTTCCAAAATATTAATGTTGTTTCACCATATATCTGGACATTCAAGTGTTTGTTTAGAGTTCCCTCACTATCTCTGTTGCTCTTCCTTCAAACAGCTATTTATCTGTCAAGATCAAGATGAAGTTCTTGCCATTTCCTTGGAAAATATCCTTATGTCTCAACAGGTAAGGTTAAATAAAATAGTATACATAAAGTTCTCTAATAATGAACTAATAATATCAATAATAATAATTCCTCTTTCCTTACATTCCTCCTCCACAGGTCCCTACTGTATTCTGTTTATCAGTTTTTCTAAAATAAATCATAATAAATATATTACATGTCAACTTGATTGGACTATCAGTTAGTTGAGGCCATAAAAACTAGACCTTATTTATTTTTGTATTCTAATATCTGCAACATAGATTTACTAAATAAACTCCATAAAGTACCTTGTCATTGCAACTAAAATCTGACACCCATATTGGACACAAGATTTCCAAATTTTGATGCCCAAAAAGACAAAGTCAAAGTCAAACTCCAGTTGCTCCTGAACTTGCTTATCCAGAAATAATTGTAACCATATGATACTAAGCAAATAATAAGTCTAAGTGACTGTTTCCCCAAGTATAAGATAGAGTTAGTAACCCTTTAAGTTTCCATAAATGCTTTATCCTATTTTAAAATATCTTTGGACATATATAATTCAAAAGTTAAAAAAATAAACTTATCAACAATCTCCCAAAATTAGGAATGATAACTAAGCCCCCAAAAGCTACTATTTGGAGATAAACCAGCAAGTACTCCAAGTTAATACCTACCCAGCTTTGTAATGTGTTTGTTAACTAGTTTTTCAACATGGCAATTAACAACCTCTAAACAAAAATAATGCTCTCTGTACTTGTTGGGTAATACAACTTGATATAACCAGAAGCAAAAAAAAAAAAAGTTATAAGCACAAGTAGAAAAAATACTTAAAATAAATATTTATTTTAAGATTGAACTTATTTTGTATAATGACTTTGTAGTGCAGTTAAGTCTTAATTTTTAACTAAACTGAGAATTCAGTTTGGGTTTATGGAGTCCTTCCTTAATTATAATCCCATGAATCAATTTTACAATAATAATTACTTTACATAAACACTTAACCTTTTTTATTAATAACATGATGGTGAGATGTAGTATGCATTGTAATCCCAAACTTGTCGCCTATAATGTCAACGATTCCATGCAGGCATAGTTCCAATATAGGCATGAGCCACCACACCTAGCTTTTTCTTTTTTTGAGACTGCAGAAAATAAATAATTAAATACTTATTAGTATTTTCCATGTGGATGAGTATATTTAAAATAAGGACCAAAAAGCAACCTACTATACATTGCTTTATTAGATGTTTATCCTACCTATTTTAGTTAAGACCCCAATACTAGTATGTAGTCACTTCCCATCCTGTTCCCCATATGAAACTAGTGAATCAGAATACAATAGAATAGAGTACTTTGGCACACACTTCCTTGTTTTTCATTGCTCAGCTGAAATTTAGTTGTAGGTTGTTAAGTCTTTTCCAAATGCTGAGCAAGGCAAATCCACAGTATTCAAACTAGGGATTTTCAAGAGTTGAGGATTACAGAACTCTATTATATGAATTTGCAACACAAGTAAATAAATAAAAATTAAAAGCTCTTTTGTTGCCACCTACCTTTTGATTTACAGTAGGAAAGATACAGCAACAGCTCCCTTTATATAAATCCATATCAGTTAAGGAAATTAGAATAGATGGTGTCATGCAATATTCTGTTTAATTTTTTTTTTAAGTGAGCTATGCCTGCATGGAATCATTGACATTATAGGCGACAAGTTTGGGATTACAATGCATACTACATCTCACCATCATGTTATTAATAAAAAAGGTTAAGTGTTTATGTAAAGTAATTATTATTGTAAAACTGATTCATGGGATTATAATTAAGGAAGGACTCCATAAACCAAAACCAAATTCTCAGTTTAGTTAAAAATAATAAAGACTTAACTGCACTACAAAGTCATTATACAAAATAAGTTCAATCTTAAACTCTAATGCCTGATTAATCCATGGTATGTAGAGATAAAAAAATTTTGCTTGAAGCCACTGGTACTACCTAGAGTAGGCATGTATGATACCAACTATTCAAAGCACAGTTACCAAAGCAACAGAATCCTGCCTACAACACTGGGTAGCAAGTAGTGGGCCTATCATAATGTTGTAAAATGTAAATGTACACTTACATGGCATAAATGTTTTTTAAAGGATAGTTTAAGCCAACATCTCCAAAAAACTTTCTATTAATACATGCTGAGAAATGGTTGCTGAACCTTTTTTTTTTTTTCAAGTTCACATACACTTAACAAATCATCTTTAAAGACCAAGTTGTATGAATAGAATATTGGTAAATCAGTTATTTACAGTTGCTATTCTACATCTGGCAATACTAAGTATATCTTAGGTTCCTTTTCTGTTTTAAAAAATTCACCTAAGTATGAATTCTCAGGCCCTATCAGTCCTAATATTACCAATAAACCTAGAATTTTCTAAAATACAATGGGATAATAAGCAGATATACTGACCAATTTGGGAAAATCTTATTAATCTTATTTTTTAATTAATGTGCCATGTTTAAGGTCCTACTACATACTAAATGCCTTACATATATCATCTCATTTAATTTTAAGCAATAATATGAACTGTGGGAGAAAATTATTATTAGCCCCACTTTGCAGATAAGAAACCTGAGACTTAGAAAAATAAGAGACATGCCCAAGTCCACCCAGCTACAAAGTGCTAGACATCAGGATTTGACTACAAAGTTCACACTTTTTGCCTATTTGGTACATAAAAGAAAGACATCCGACTTTCCATTTATTCCATGTGAACACTGTGTGTATTGATTTAAAAATTAACGATGAAAAGTAATATTTATTTATAAAGCCATGCAGAATAAATTGGTACATTCTAATAATTTCCATTTCCTCAATTTACCATTTTTCTTAGAATACTAAATAAATTATGGAGTACTGTGCTTTCCTCACGCTACAGGCATGGTATACTGCCATACTAACCACAGATCACAGCATGTAAAGCATACTATGCACTGTTTTTAGAAGCTGAGTACTACACTTAAAGTCTAACAAATTCTAGTCTTCTTTGGAAAGTGCTCATGATTCCGCTGCCGTTGAGAAATAAGATCATATGAAGTGAAATGATGAAATGAAAAGTCCATATTTGCATTTACCTTGTGTATATTTCCTATATGATAACCAGATAAAATTTCATCTCAATTTCCAACTTCAAAACATTACAGAGTTAGGATTCCTTGAAACAAAATGCTGCTTGTAAGTAAACTGCTCATACTAACAAAATGACAGACGAAGAGTAACACACAGGACATTTCGGGGAGTAAGAAATAAACCACTTATGATTCAAGTGGTGAAAGACATTTCGTGTTTCTCGTATCTGGTTGCACTATTAAGGAAAAATTAAAACGAAAATATCAAAAAACTAGAAGCTAAGAGAATTCCATCATATTTTCCATTTCATGCCTTCTCTTTATAATTAATTAAAAAAATCTTTTTGGTCCATTTGAGGGATTTCTCAAAACAAACACAATTTAACATTTAGATGGGCTAACGCTGTCCAGGTAATAGGTGCCTGTGATTACTCATGTAATTGTCCTTTACGTAGCTTTGACTAAAACACCAGCAACGAAAACCTGTGCCACCAGGTGTAGGGGTCAAATCGTCCTGAAAGCCTCCCACCGCCTGGCACCAGGTGCTAGGGCAGAGCCAGGGGAAGCTGTGTACTTAGCTCCTTTTTTGGCGGTGGCTGTGGTCTCGGCTACTTGGCCCTCCTCCGGGCTCCCAGACACCCTACACTTTCCTTCCCCCCTTCCAAAGCGCTCACTCCCATCCCACTCCCACTTCAGGGTCCACAGGGGACCGAAGGGGCCCTCAGAGATTTCCCGACCCACCTCAGAGCTTCTCTCCCTCCTCTCAACTTTTCTGGGGTTGGGCCAGGGAGACGGCGCCCACCCGCCTCCTCACACCGCGGGACTCGACTTTCGTCCCCTGGTGTCGCTCATCCTCCCCAGACACTTACCGCCTCAAGATCCACGAGGATTTCAGGGCAGCAGCGTCGCCGCGCTCAGCCCAGACTTGGAGGCCGAGCGCCCCGCTGCCCGTCGGGGAACGGCTCTAGCCTGTAGTCGGCTCGCTGACCCGGGTGGCGGCGTCGGGGGGCGGGGCGGGAGGCGGCTCCGAGGGGCGCGAGGCTGGCCCGGGGCGGGCACGGGGCGTGGCCTCGGGCGCGGAGCCGGAGAGCCGCGGCAGGCTTGCGGGGCTAGAACCGTTAAACAGGTGGCGCGCGCTTCCCCCGTGCGCTGAGCACGTGGAATTGGAGCGGCGCCGCCGGAAACCGCTCGTCAAGGGCAGGAGGCCGCGAGTGAGGTGAGGTGCTAATAGGCTCGTCCTGGACAGGGCGCGCCTGTCTGAACGGCCTTCAGGACCCCAGTGCGTGTCCCTGTTTGTGCAAAGACGCGGCGGCTCGAGGCGAGTCGCGTGCGAGCGGCCTGGCGGCGGGCTCCTGGTAGCGTCTGTGAGGGAGGCCGCCTCTGTGAGGAAGGCCGCCGTCGTGCTGACGACTGATTCCCCCCACCCCCGTCCCGTCAGAGCCGCAGGCAGGCCCTGCTTTCCTCTTGGTGCATTTAGAGGGTGCCAGAATTAGGGTTGGCAGGGAGGAAGATGTTTGAGACATGGTTCATCTCAGCTGGAGATACAGCGTTTCACACAAACTGCCATCCTGAAAGGAACAAATGAATTAAGGCAACTTATTTCTTTTTAATCTTCACCGTCAATCCTTTTGCTGATTTTTCGTTTGTACTGAGGGATGTGGGAGTGGCAGTCCCTCACGTCCCCAGGCGCAAGAAGGACAGTTGAAAATGGGAAACACTGAACGGTTTAAAGTGGGGCACTGTCGGGATTTACCATTTTGGAAGGTATAAAGTTTCACTAGCACTTCCATGTATAGTCAAGTTACTGCTAGCTGTCTCTGTGTAGAAATGGCTTCAGAAACACTCCTACCGTCCACTGAGACAACTCGCATGGCATCAGAGTCTAGGGTCCAGGGTCAGAGATGAGTCATGATAAGAAGGCATCCCTTGGGGTGAGGCACCAGAAGTCTGCACAGTGGAATCAATATATTCCAACCACCAGATGTTGAACGTTTTAAGTGCAGGATATGGTTTTCATCCATCTACTCACAACAGAAGTTTTCTTCTTCAGGAATATGCTTAACAATGCAACATTATAATTTTATATACAGCTTACAATAAAATGATTTTGTGCATATCACGGAAGTCAGTAGAAACTATTGTGACAAAAATGTACATTGGAAAATTTCCAATTCAGATCAATATTAGTAATTTATTGAGGAAGAGAGAAATTAGAGAATAGACAGACTCCTTGATTTTTTTATAATTGAGGAAGAAAAATGAACCATATAAACACATTGAAACTTTTCAAAATGTCCTATTGATGTGACATAAATTATTGGCATCTACAGATAATCTAGAACTCATACCTGTACAAGAACTTGACAACAAACAGGTTAATGACTTTTAGCAACTTAAAGACTATATAAGGTTAGTTACTGCCTAAGAAAAATTGAAGTGCCCCGAAATCAGAGTTCACATAAGAACCTCATGACAAGTTTCCCCAAATTTAACAAAACTAAAAATTGACATTATTACCAAACAACAAATCCTGAAACTGCAATAATTTTTCTAAGCTTTCAATAATAAAAAATAAATGTTGAGTAACTTTGCTTGAAAGGAATAGACCATTGTTCATTCTCATCAGGGAAAGTGCTTTACAAAATTACTGTTAAATGACAAGGCAATAAAAAATGTAAAACTAAGGCCGGGCGCGGTGGCTCAAGCCTGTAATCCCAGCACTTTGGGAGGCCAAGGCGGGTGGATCACGAGGTCAAGTGATCGAGACCATCCTGGTCAACATGGTGAAACCCCGTGTCTACTAAAAATATAAAAAAAATTAGCTGGGCATGGTGGCGTGTGCCTGTAATCCCAGCTACTCGGGAGGCTGAGGCAGGAGAATTGCCTGAACCCAGGAGGCGGAGGTTGTGGTGAGCCGAGATCGCGCCATTGCACTCCAGCCTGGGTAACAAGAGCAAAACTCTGTCTCAAAAAAAAAAAAAAAATGTAAAACTAAAAATATAGGAAAAACATAGCAATGGTTCAGGTAGTTAATTTAAAATATCATTTTACTGAATTTCTAAAATATTTGTGGTATTTATCATCTTTTTAAAAGTCTGTAATTTGTTGTCATTGATTTTCTTATTCTAAGTAAATATTTACTTTGGTTTCCCCACCCCCGCACCCCCACTCCGATTCCTGCCCTGCCTCAGTCACTCAAAGAATTGGAGAATGTATTGAAAAAAAGTGACAGTAGAAATAGAAACCCCAATTAGAAGGATAATAATTTCTAATGTGGCTTACTACTTATAAGTAGAGGTTTTATTTACATTTATATTTTCATATTTTATTTAACTCTACTTTCACAGTACCTAGTACTAGACACACACACACAGACATATAAACTGGTTACTTGATCTCATGGTATGTGCTGTCTAGTGAGGGTACAGATATGCAAACAGACAATTTCAGCTCAATAAGTTAATTGTTAAGATTAACCTGGGTGGTGACACTGAAAGCCTGGCAACTCAGAAAGCTGAAGAGGTAGCATTATCTAATGTTTACCAAATGATTTCCTTACCAATCTCCTGCCAATAGTCACCTTTTATTCATTTATTCCTCAAACATTTACAAAGCATTTTTTGAAGGATACACTAACAAACAAACATGCAACAGACACACTCATAATTACTATGGAAATGTGTTAAAACATTTTAATAATTTTAGCACCAGGGGCTGGTTTCTTGGAAGACCGGAAGGGCAGGGGATGGTTTCGGGATGAAACTGTTCCACCTCAGATCATCAGGCATTAGATTCTCGTAAGGAGCGCACGACCTAGATCACATGTGCAGTTTTCAATAGGGTTCTCAATCCTATGGGCCACTGTTGATCTGACAGGAGGCAGAGCTCAGGCCGTAATGCCAGCAATGGGATGGGGCTGTAAATTGAGATGAAGCTTCAGTCACTCACCTGCCACTCACTTCCTGTTATGTGGCCTGTTTCCTAACAGGCCAGTGACCAGTACCAGTCTGGGGTTGGGGGGAGGGCAGTGGTTAAGAACCCCTCTGTTAAAAGCTATAATAATGACTTAGTTTTATTCAGCTCAGTTCAGCTCAGTAAAAAAGTTGTGAAGTCCTATGTTTATGTGCTAGGAACTGAGGATACAAAGACAAACTGAAATACAACGAGAATGGCTGATGCACAATTAGCAAGAAGAGAACACTAGCTTAATAATAGTGCCTATATGAAATAGAAGATAGTATATGTAGTACAAGTGTTTATGTGGAATAAAAGAAGTACTACATGGAAAGGCATAATTCTGTTGAAGAGGCATCACGAAAGGGTTTGCATGGGAGGTAATGCCTGAGCAGGATTTTTAAGGATAAAACATTTACCCACCTTAGAAAAGGGTATTCCTTGCAGGTGAAAGAACAAGCCCAGAGATATACAGGAATAAAGCAACAGCCAATACAAGAAAACATCAGTAATTTAGTACTGCAGAAACACAAATACAAGAGACTGCCTGGTAGTAGCTTGATATTAGGCTAACAAAAGATGAAGTATCTTTTATCTCCTTTATAATGATATGGAGAGACACTGAAGGATTTTAGTTTGGGTTGGTAGTATTCTATGACCATTTGGAAAAAAATTACTTAAATGACAATGTAAAAAATGGATTGGGAAGCAGAGTAGACATCAGCAAGACAAGAGAGGCAGAGGAATCAGTTCAGAGGTTTACAGCAATCCAGGCAATGTTTATTTCAAGCCATAAGTAAAGGTAGATAGTGACCACAAAGAAAGAAAAGTACGATCGGGTGTGGTGGCTCATGCCTGTAATCCCAGCACTTTGGGAGGCTGAGGCAGGTGGATGGTGAGGTCAGGAATTCAAGACCAGCTTGACCAAGATGGTGAAACATCATCTTTACTAAAAATATGAAAATTAGCTGGGCATGGTGGCAGGCACCTGTAATTCCAGCTACTCAGGAGGCTGAGGCAGAGAACTGAAGTCGGGAGGAGGAGGTTGCAGTGAGCTGAGGTGGGAGACGGCACCACTGCACTCCAGACTGGGTAACAGAGCGAGACTCCTTCTCAGAAAGATGAAAGAAAAAGAAAGAGAGAGAGAAAGAGAAAGAGAGAGAGAGAAAGGAAAGAAAAAAAGAGAGAAAGGAACACATAGCTGAGAGAATAAGGAAAGCATAACAGTTCAGAGTGTGAAAACGAGAAGTGGAAAATAGTGATGCCAGTTATTGATTTTGCCACTCAGAGCAATATAGAAAACAATAAAAAGGTATTGTGATTTGTTTGAGGAGGCACAAGAGAATGGCATCTAGATTGTAGGTGAAAGGAAGGGACAAAAGCAAGATTAGGTGAAGTAGAGATCATCCAGTTTAAGTGGAAGGGGTCTACTGGAAAGCAGCAGGACTTTGAAGTTTTGAGATAGCATTTCTGGAGAATGTTCAACTGAAATGGTTCAGGAGACAATTGAAGGTGAAAATAAGTAATTTATAAGGCCATTACCTGTGTGGTTGTGAGATTCACTGGCAAATAAAGGAGGGGATGATAAACTGAAGTAATAATAAACCTGAAGTCCACACAGAGTGAGAATTCTAGACAGAAGAGGTGTATTTTCAAAGAGGTATATTTTCAGACAATGGAATAACTGAGTGTGAGAGTTTAGACATGGAGTGGTTCTGAGTATAATCACCCAGCATGCCACTACAGAGGTGAGTGAATACAAGAAGTGGAAGGAAAGTAAAGGTCATTAGACTTGATGAAGAACTGTGAGTCCAGACTACAGTATTAGATAAACCATTCACATTGACGTTTAATCAGTAGCATGTGATAAGAATGAAAACCAGGTACTGAAGTCTGCATTGGTGAGGAGGGAGTTAAAGGAGATCTGTGGATGGCAGACGGTAGGTAGAAGGGAAGTTATAAAAGAATGAGTGAGGCAGGTAGGAAGAAAGCAGAAAAAAACTATGGCCTTACACAAGCTAAGGAATTCTCCATATTTCCTAAACTCTTGCTAAAGGCTTAATAACTAATAAAAATTTAATGCATTTCAAAGATTATTTAAATGTCCAATATCTTAAGCCAAAGGTATATCTGATGTGGAAATATCAGATATTGAGGCAAGGTTTTTCAGAAAAATTTATGGGAACTTTGGGAACTTTTCCATAGCTCTATTTATCCTGGCATTATTACTTACACATCTGAACAGGCCACTCAAGGCATTCAAAAACTTCCTAAGAGCAATGTGTGTGATCACTTTCTATTTAGTAAGTTACCTTAAATAACTCTTAGTTACAAAATTGAGAAGACTGTTAGATCAAAGACTCTCATTTACTATATTACAAACTAGACCGACTTCTTAAATATTTAGCCTTACCTGATCCTTACTCTGTGAGGCTGTCCCCAAAAGAATACAGATAGGCTCTTTATTTTTCTGCTTTTAATCTAATACTCCACTTCAAGTGAAACACATGCATGTTTAACAAAATATAAAGAGCATAGTATTTATTTAAATTTGTAACTGAGGACGTGAAACATGTTAAAAGCCTTTACAAGTTTTTATTAGCATTCTGTGCTAATAATTATTTTCATAAATATTGCTATTACAAGAAAAAGAAAATATAGTTATGTTATTTAAAGCTCATTGCATATCGATTTCCTTAGATTTAATAGAAAATAGTTCTGGCTTAGTGCATACATCTTTAATCCCAGCACTTTGGGAGGCTAAGGCAGGCAGATCGCTTGAGCTCAGGACTTAAATTCCATCCTGGGCAATATGGCGAAGCCCTATCTTTACAAATACAAAAAAGAAACTAGCAGGGCATGGTGGTGCACCTATAGTCCTGGCTACTCAAGAGGTGAAGATTGAAGGAAGTCTTGAGTCCCAGAAGTTGAGACTGAAGTCAACCCTGAGATTCTGCTTCTGCACTCCAGCTTGGCTGACAGAGTAAAACGCAAAGAAAGAAAGAAAAGGAAGGAAGCTGACAGAGTGAAACCCAAAGAAAGAAAGAAAAGGAAGGAAGGAAGGAAGGAAGGGAGGGAGGGAGGGAGGGAAGGGAGGGAGGAAGGGAAATAAAGAACAAGAGAGAGAAAGAAAGAAAGAGAGAAAGAGAAAGAGAGAAAAAGAGAAAGAGAAAGAAAGAAAAAGAGAGAGAAAGAAAGAGAAAGAAAAAGAAAGAAAGAGAGAGAAAGGAAGGAAGGAAAGAAAAAAGGAAGGAAGGAAGGAGGAAAGAAAGAAATTGCTCTGCCTTCCTATAAATTTATGCTAATTATAAAAAAGAAAATATAGGTAATAATATTTTGCTACATAAATCAAAATTCTCTACAATTAATGTAGTTGAATATAATATCAAATTCATTAAAAAAATTTTAAACTAGTTTATGCTTTTGAAATAACTATTTTTGCAAATATTTTCTCATAATTCTCTTTCTTCAGATGACCTACAGATAATGAACAGCAGGGGGCACAAAAATCAAACGTTTTTCACTACGAAGTGAAACAATAAAACCTCATGTAGTGGAAAGAAGATGCACTTCAGAAGCAGACAGACTGATTCCAGCTGGCTTCCTCAAGTATAAGCTAAGTGACCTTTAATTATTGAATCTGTCTTAGCGTCTTCAATGGTAAAATCATAACTGTGAACATTAAATGTTAACATACATACATAAGGTGGGTAAATAAACATTAGGGCTTTTTTTTTCATTGCTTATTTCATGTGTATTATGTGCATACCAGAAACATACATTGAATAAATGAAAACTTAGATTTCATAGCAATTTATGCAGATCATAAACATGGAAATAGCTGTAGAGGTTTATCATAGCATGTTAGTGCAAGTATAGCCATATCAAAACTAAACAAAAGCTAAACAAAAGAAATGGTGCAACAATATCTCACAGATTACCACTAAATAACTTATGTAACCAACTACCACCTATACCCCAATAACTTATGAGAAAAAAATTTAAAAAAATACAATCACGGCATTTTTCCGTATGTGAAAATATGAATGGCAGACAAAGTGGATATAAACATGTGATAAGATTTTCAACATTGTATAGTACAGTGTTTCTCAAGGTGTGATCCAGGAAAAGTATCAAGTAGAATCATGAGGAAGTGGTTGTTTTGAATGCAGATTCCTGTCCTACTCAGAATCTACTTTTTCAGATCTGTGGGAGTAGCACTTCAATTAAACAGAAACAATAATGTTGTACTTGCTTCCTAGGTTCTTGTGAATATTTAAACATCATGTATTGTGAGGTTAGCACTCTACTTGGCACACATCATTATTAGGTTTCTTTTTTTCTTCTAAAATAACATATATGTACTCACAAATGACTTTTTCAAGAACACCTGATCATGGTGCCATTTTTTTTCTCTTCTAAGAAGAACTAAAGCAATTTTTAGTACTTTGAACAGCCAGGGACAAACACATCCTTCCTTGTCTGATTTGTGGCTATGATGTATTCTTTCAACTAATCTCTTCCCAGTTATTTTCCGTATTCCCTAGGCAGTGGAAGACATGCTCTACTTAAAAAACACGAAAACAAAAAACAGTATAAAGTCTGATAAATTTGAATTTAATAAGTTAAAAATTTTTGGTAGCTCATATAGGACTAAGCTTAAATATATGTTGACTTTAAAGCTTAAGTTTTATCAATGAAATTCATTGGTTTGGATTTTGATAAACTTATTTTAAAACTCTTCAAGAATCAAAATGAAAATTAACAAATATTGACGTATTTATCATATACTATTCTTATCTATTCATCAAGAATAAAACTTACTTTCCAACAATCAATCTAGTTCAGAAGTAAATATAATAAAAATCATTTCTCTCTCATCACCCAGAGATAACCTAAAATACATTTTCTAAAACATGGATCATATACTATGTATCACACAATTTGTAAGCCATTTCCAATTCAATGGATGAAATTTTTCATCATATTCTTGATTGCCTGCTATTTCACTGTATAAGTGTGCCATAATTTAGTTCACCAATTCCATGTTATTGGATTGCTGGACTGTTTTTTCTTTTTAGTTTCTTTTGTAAACAGAAAATTGATAATACCTTTAGGACAAATTCTTAGAGTATTACTAAGTCAAAGAATATGTGGGGTGTGTGTGTCTGTGTGTGTGTGTGTGTGTGTGTTTCCCATATCCTCAGCATTACAGGGGTATTATTGCACTTTCTCTTTCTTTGTTAATGTAGTAAGTGAAAAATAGTATCTCTTTGTTTTAACTTACATTCTTCAAATATTAGAAAACTGGGAACTGGGTGTGGTGGCTCACACCTGTAATCCCAGCACTTTAGGGGGCCAAGGTGGGCATGTTGCCTGAGCTCAGGACTTCCAGACCAGCCTGGGCAACATAATTAAACGTTATCTCTACAAAACATAGAAAAAAATTATCCCAGCATGGTGACGCACACTGTGATCCCAGTTACTTTGAAGGCTGAGGTGGGAGGATGGCTTGAGCCAGGGAAGTTGAAGCTGCAGTGAACTGAGATCTCACCACTGCACTCCAGCCTGGGTGGCAGAGTGAGATCCTGTCTAAAAAAAAAGAAAAATTGAAAAACAGTTTATGAACTATTGTAGTTCTTTTGTGAATTGTGTTTTTATACCTTTAGTCCCTTCTGATGTTACAAAGTCTTTCTACTATTTTGAAAATAGCTTCACCAGTTTGTCTTTTGGCTTAGCTTATGGTTTTTTTTAAATACAGAAGTTTTTTGGGGATTTTTTTTGTTTGGTTGTATCAATCCTTTTCTATATAATTTCTTCTTTTAGGTTCTACTTGGAACGTTTTTCTTAACCCAAGATTATACAAATATTTACCTACACATTCTGATACAAATTATAAAGTACATATTCAACTATATATAAGAATTTAAAATACCAATTCATTCAACCATTTATTCATTCATGCGTATTCACTCATGTATATTGAGCACATATACACCAGGAACTGTTCTAAGTGGGGATAAGGCTAGGAACAAGAATACCAGGGTTCCTGCTCTCATAAACTTATTTTTCCAGAAGGAATATGATATAGCATATAATTTAATGTGAGCTTTCTGATCAATGGGGGAAAGAATGGATTATTTAATATGCAATGCTGTTACAACTAGTTAACCATTAGGAAAAGAAATAAAATTATTTTATACCTAGCATCAAATACATTAAAATTGGATTTAAAAACTGTATTTTAAAAATAAAGCCATGAAAATAGTACAAAAACATAAATGAATATTATATTTTAAAAATTACATACATTTCTAAACATGGAAACTTTACACCAAGATTTCAAGACAACTTCAGAAATGACATTATTTTTAATGGAATAAAACAAGGTAATTTTTGAACAATAATCTTTATTAGTGTATTTTTAAAGGTACATATAATCCTGAGCTAACACATTAATACATTTGTCATTTTACTCTTGGAAGTGTACATGTATTTTCCTCCAAATTATGTGATGAGTACGTTTTTATACTAATCAGTAACATAAATAGTTTAAAATGTTAGTCTTATCTCTGGAATCACCAATTAGTTTACTCAGATGATCTCATTGTCTAATTTGACTACATTTAAAGACTGTAGAACATTTGTGATTAAGCAATTTATTTTTCAAAACTGCAAAGATGGGCAGTGCAAGAGCTGATTCCATAAATTTCAATGAATTCTTAGAAAACTATGTTCTTCATCTCTGATCTAGTTTCTTGAATAATTTGGGTAATTATCTGATCAGTTACCTTAATTTCAACATTTTAGCTATTGTAAAATATCATAAGCTTCCTTCAAATATAAGTAGTACATAATTACCTCCATAAGAAAAATGTACCATGATATAAGGAAAAGGGGTACACAACCCAGTGTAAATATATCTTTGATTAAATAGTTAAGTATTATAAAACATGTAATGATAAACATTAAATTCCATAAATCCAGACCAGATCTTTTCTAACCGGTAAATAAAAAAACAAAAATGAAAGACAAAAGTCCTATGATCTTTGAGAAAAGACATTTATCCAACATCTCACTCTGTGGACAAATAAATATTCATTCTTGTATTTTAAATTACTACCAAAATATTGTATCTTTCTACAAACAACAAAAAACAAGCATACAGTATCTAGAAATGTTTTTTTCTCTGTCAAGAATGTCAAGTCTTTGAAGGTACACTAAATTTTTTTTCCTGAATAAGGTCACTATAATCTTAGGTTAAAGTTACAGTAAGCAGTTCAAGCAAAATGCATATTGCTTAGGTATTAAGCAAGCAATTTTGATACTGTTTAATTAAAATGTAAGTATAAATGTGAAACTATTATAGAAATATTTATAAACACTTAGGAATATTCACATATCAGCAAGTAATGAAATAACTGATTTAAAAATAATGAAAGGGTGAGAGTAAATGTAATGTTTGGTAACAAATCCAAAAATATCTATAAGAGATGTAAAAGAACATGAAAAAGCTTTATTATTACAATTATGAAAACCTAGCAGCAAAACAATTTGCATATAATGTAGTGCAATGAGCATTTGTTCATAAAAGACTCCCAAAGTCTTGAAACTATTATATACAAACCAGAATGGAATCCATTAGGATAAATAATTTAAAGATGCCCAGAGTAGCTTACCAAGAACTGCTAGACACTCTCACCTGCGTCACTGAAAAATAAACAAGCTTATGTAAAACTGTGTTCTGGATAACTAACTCTTATGGCTCCCCAGTAACAAGCTCGGATAAGGCAGATCAACCCTACGAGATAAGCAATTGCCCAAGAAACATAGGTTGCTCGAAATCGCCTTGCAAAATCTTGGGTGCCAACCTAAAGTAAAAAGCAATATAAAAACAAAAGATTAGAGACTTTAAGAAAATATCTTCTTAGATAACTTGTATCAGCTTACTTGTGATTTTTATGAAACATACCCCCAGACTGAATACACGAAGTCCTTATAAGAGTAGGTGTATCTGTTGACAAAACTGATAGACCATACTGCTACTTATATTAACTATAAATGTTATAAAGTAAACAAGAAAGCACACTAAGATATGTTATCTCTAAAAGGAATTTAATTTATGTAACTTCTTACTATCATGGGACACAGTAGGACATTGCTAATAATAAGGGACTAGCTGTACTGACGAACAAAGGAGCATGGAAATGGCAGCAAAAAAGATTATCTTCCTCTTCTGGTATAATCCCCATGCTAACTGCTTCGCTCCAGTCTCCTCTAAGAATAAGCCATTTTCATATTGGTAATAAATCTCTGCTTGATTTGGATAAAGAAAAGAGTGGTTTTGCAGATCTCCGTAGCTGAAGGAATGTTGCTTTGAATATAAGATACCCCATAGCTATGCAAAATTAGTTTTGGCAATAAATTAAAAAAAAAAAAGGGCTGTTGCTAAATAGATGATAAAGTCCCCAACAGTAAGGACTCTTGGAGGGATCCAAAGCCACCATTTCACCTGGATGGGCGAGTTCCACTAAAAAGAGGTCCATGGATTGGGTTTCTGATTGCTCATAGTCATTCAGAAGCTTCTAGGCCTGACATGCCAAGGATGCAGCCTCTTCAGGGATCCCTGAAGGTTGTCCCAGGCCTCAGACTGACTATTGATAAAGGTGAGAGGACAGAATCTCTAACACCAAGTAATACTCACAGTTAATCCTACTCCTATTAAAATACATATCATTCCAATTGTAATATATGCACAGCAGCGTCTTCGTGGAAGCGCACTACCCACTGAGGAGCTGCAAATTCATGAGAGCACAAGAGAACATTAAGTATTTACATAACAATTCACCATTTCATTTGTGTGAGTTCTTATCTACGGCTTTGGTAATATTACTTTATATATATTCTTTATTAATTGCTTCAACTTTATAGACAAGAATGTGCATTAAGCTTGTCATTTTTAATGGATGACAAAATTATTCATGGTGAATTTGTGATATTATTGTGGCTTTAAACAAAGTTCAAGCCTTGGTTATTGATAATATCAACAGATATCCACCATAGTACCTAATAATCTCCTAAGATAAAAATGTATTTCCAAGGAATCTACTTCAGAATGGAAAAAGAGCTATCCCACAAATAGCATTTGATTTTTTTTTAGCAGTTAAAACAGTATGTGTTTAAGGTTAAAATTTAGAAAGTAGAATAGAAGAAAGAATAAAGAATAAAAAGGTAAAGAAAAAATTGCTTATAATCCCAATATATAAAATAGTCATTCTATATTTTGCATACTTTCCTCTAGTCAATTTTGTACTTTACTAATATATAGCATGAACTTTTTCATCTAATATTCTCAAACTGAAATTTTGATGGATGAATATAATTAACAAATTTTCTACCATTGTACATTAAAGTATGTTGTTTATTTTACATAATGCCAACAAAGCATCATTTAAAACCACAGTGCTTATTTTTAATCATTCTTAAGATTTTTAAATTTAGAATTAGGATTACAAATTAAAGGGATTTAACTTTTTGAAGTTTATTTAATACATACTGCCAAAAACCTCCACCGTGCTACTCAAATGAAATTCTAAATCTAATGGTATTATCCCTCTCCATTTCTAATTGTGGTAATTTTCAATACGACATAAGTTATAGCAGAGATCAGCAGCCAAATTAGCACTTTCTTCTCTGTCTTAATGTACATATATTTATTACTATATACCATATGCAAGGCATCCTGTTAGTGAATGACACGGAAGTATCTGATTTGCCTTTGTGTGGCCAGTGTCAAGATTATACCTAACACATAATAACCTTTAAAAGAATGTCTGATGAATAAATAAAATACAGAAACTCATCACTTACTAGACATGATTTAGAAACATACTGTTCAAAATAGGTTAATTTTGCATACAAAATTACTTCCTTTAATTTCAGAAGTTTGTTGCAAATATACATGTTGATGGTTTAGATAGGTGCATAACACCAGTTTGACAGTTAATTTTCCTGGATACTTGAGCCCAAACACAAACATCTGGATGACCTGGGAACCACCATTAATTATGTACAGCTTGCTGTCTAGTTACTATGGCATGTAGACTCATCTCCTTTATGTAATATTTAGCCCCAGGCTATTTTTGGTTCTAACTTCTATGCATCCACTAGTGGGTTTTCCTGACTTATGCCTCACAGCTGGTTGTTGTTTCTCATCACTGCCTGTGTAACTGCCTTTGGCAGTTTGTAATATACCATTCATTAGAAGCCAACTAAGCCTATTAGAATTACGTATTGAACAAGCCAAAAGTTTCTAAGTGACTATTAGAGCAGCTTTTCTGTGAGCCAAGAGAATACAGTTTAGTACATTAATTTCAGTGCCTAAATTCTGCTTAGAAAACCCATGCTCTTTTTCCCTCGCTCAAATTGTCACTACATCTGAGAAATCTTCTCAGAAAAAATAATAATAACTTACTCCTACTTCACAACTCAAGTGCCATCTCCTTACAGGATAAGGCAATTATCAATAAGTACTTATTGGATCAATCATAAACTCTCTTACACATTTAATACATATGTGATATCTACATGCAATATATATTACTGGTACAAAAATAGACACTCAGACCAATTGAACAGAATAGAGAACCAAGATATAAGGCCACACAAAACTATCTGATCTTCAACAAACCTGATAAAAACAAGCAATGGGGAAAGGATTCTCTATTCAATAAATGGTGCTGGGATAACTGGCTAGCCATATACAGAAGATTGAAACTGGACTCCTTCCTTATACCAAATATAAAAATTAACTCAAGATGGATTAAAGATTTATAGTTTAAATGTAATCTATAAAACAACAATGACCCTTATATCTTTTTCTATCCTTATACTTTTGTTCTATGTTCTAATATTTCATGCATTCTTTCTTCAAATTATATATAGGTGTTCTTACATCTAGTCTTATCATTTCTGTTAAGTTTTTTTTTTTTTTTTTTTTTTTTTTTTTTTTTGAGAAGGAGTCTGGCTCTGTCACCCAGACTGGACGCATTGGTGGCACAATCTTGGCTCACCTCAACCTCCACCTCCTGGGTTCAAAATATTCTTCTGCCTCTGTCTCCTGAGCAGCTGGGACTACAGGCGTGCCACCACCATGCCTGGCTAATTTTTGTATTTTTAGCAGAGATGGGGTTTCACCACATTGGCCAGGCTGGTCTCAAACTCCTGACCTCATGATCCACCCGCGTCAGCCTCCCCAAATGCGGGGATCACAGACGTGAGCCACTGAGCCCAGCCTCTGTTAAGTTTTACTAAGCAATATTTGTCTAATGATATGCTTGGACTATTTCTGACATCTCATTTTGGCTTTCTACTATTCCTGTATTTTCTGCTTTTCTACTCTTATTTCCAGACTCTTTCATATTGACCGTTACTCTTTTATTTCATTTCCCTTTTATTATACTGAAAGTGTTACAATGTATTTCATTCATTTGGTAGTTGTACTTAAAATTTTAACATATATACCTTTTGAAAACTAAAGTCATTTAGTAAATCCACCTTCCTGATAAATACAAGGATTTTAGAAAATTTTAACTCCAGACATTCAACTGCCATCTTAATGCTATTGTTTTCCAGTATTTTATTTTTATTGTATTTTTGTTTCTCGAAATCTATTAGCATTAATATAATTGATATTGTTGTTTTTGCTATTTAATATAGTCAATGTTTCTGGTAAATTGTTACAATTTATTGTTTTACCGTTCCTTCCTGCATTGCAGAAATTTCTTCTGGAATAGTTGTTCATATTCCCTACTTTACCATTTAGCAGTTTTTTTTAGTAAGAGTGCCCAGATGGTAGATACACTGGATTTTGTTTGTTTGTTTTTAGATTTGTTGGTTTTGCATTTGAAAATATCCTTATTTTATCTTCACTATTCTTTGATGGTTTAGATAGGTGTATAGTTTGACAGTTAATTTTTCTTAGTATTTTTGATATATTTTAAAAATTTTCTGGCTTCTATTTTTTCTGTTGAGACATTTGCTGACAGAACAGTTGTCCTTTTCATATTGAAAATATGCCTTTTATCTCTCTGCTTTTAATTACCTACTATTTCTCTTAGGTTTTTTTTTTGTTTTGTTTTGTTTTTACAATTTCACTGTGACACATTTATTTATCCTGCTTGGCTTTCACTATTCTTTTTTAATATAAAAATTCATATCTTTCATAGATCTGAAAATTCTTTGAGATTATCTCCTAAAATGCCCTATCCCATTCTTTGTTTGTTCCTTCTACATTAGATATATAATAGGCATCTTAATAGTATATTTTCTCTTAATCTTACATTCATCTTTGTCTCTCTATGCTGGATTCTTGATAATTCACTTACCTCTATATTCCAATTTATAACTTTAGTCTTCTCCTTCATCTGATCTGTTCTTTATCCTTTACATGCATTTTAATTTATGTACTACAAAATTTCTAGAATTGCTACTGTTTATTTCTATATCTGTCTGGTTTTTTTTTTTCAATTTACTACTTGAGACAATTATAGATTCACAAGCAGCTGTAATAAATAACACAGAGAAATATCACGTGCCCTTTGCCCAATTTCCCCCATAGTAAATCTTGCAAATTATAATACAATATTATAAACAGGATATTAACATTCATATAATTCACCAGTATTCAGATTTCTCAGTTATATGAGTATGGATTTGTCTTTAATTTTATGCAATTTATCACATGTTTAGGTTCATGGATCTATTACCCTAGTCAAAATAGAGAACAGTCTATCACTGTAAGGATCCTTTTATAACTACCCCCTCCTTTCTACCCACCCCACACCTTGTGCCTGCCACACCATCATTAATCCATTCTCTATTTCTGCAATTTTGTCATTTGAAAAATGTTACATAAATGAAATCTTGCTGCAGGTAGCCTTGTATGGCTAGCTTTATTTTTTCTCAGCATAAATTGAATTCATCTAAGCGGTTGCATGTGTCACATTTACAATAATCATGTGTATGTTTTTGTGAATTACCTGATAATTTTTAAATAGTCTTATTCGTTTTCTCTTATTTTTATTTTTAAAACATCTTAGGCATAGTTTTAACATACTCCATATCTAGTAATTATAAATCTTAAGTTTTTAGGAGTCTAATTATGCTGTTTGTTATCAATGTTGATTATGCTTCTGGAATCTTGTTTCCTCCTATGACTAGTAGCTTTTTTTGAAAACTTATTTTGGCAGCTATTAATACAAAAAAATATTTGCATGGATAGTTTAGGGATGCTTTGCTCCACACAGAACTTTCATTTGCTTTTCTCAGGCTCGCTAGAGTGATACCAACCTTAAACTTTTAAGTTAGTTTCTAGAACTAGGTTATCGTACATCTAATTTTAAGTAATATAAAATTTAAACCTAAATTCATTGTTATTACAAATTTATTTCTTTGCAGTCTTCCTTTTCTGGTAAATTTCTTTTTCCTGACCCACTGTTTTCTCAGGGAAGCACACTTTTAAGTACTTTATTGAGAGGGGCTAGTATTCCAACCCCTCTTCCTTGTGTGAAGCCAAGGCCTTCTCTCATGTTGTTTACTGGACACTGAAACTCAGGCTCTAAATCCCTGGTATTGGCAAATACCTTTAGGATAGTCCTGGTTGTCATTTCGTCTTCATTTTTGGGCCCTGGGAATTTTTTTGTAACTGTCACATAAGCTGAGCTATGCATTTAAAGGAATGGTTTTTATTTAATTGGTTTTTCATATTACTGGATGTGAAAGTCAAGGGCATATG